CCGCGGCGCGTGGTGGCGATCATCAGCTCCTTCCTCTCCGACCGGCGCTTCCACGTCTCCGTCGGGGGGGGTGAAGTCGAGCTGCCGGCCGATCGCCGCGGGGGTCCCTCAGGGCAGCTGCTTATCTCCCATACTATACTCAATATACACAAATGACGTTCCAGTTGCTGCGGGGTGTGCGGTGTCGCTGTTTGCGGACGACACCGCCTACATCGCCTCCTCTCTTAACACACGCCACGCAGCCACCAAATTACAGAGGTCGCTGGACGCCCTTCCAGCCTGGCTGGCAGAGCGGCGCCTCACCGCAAACGCCGCCAAGACTCAAGCCATCGTCTTCGGCTGGGGGCGTCTCCCGCCGCCGCTGCAATTCCAAGGGGTCGAGGTCCAGTGGCGCTCCCAAGCGACCTACTTGGGCATTACCCTGGACAGAGGCCTAACGATGCGCCCGCACATCGCTGCAGCCGCAGGCCGCGCAAAGGCGGTCGCCTCCAAACTGCGCCCTGTACTGCAGTCCGCACTTCCGCTAAGGCGTAAATTAGCACTGTACAAACTATACATTAGACCTCATCTCACGTACGCGGCGCCCGCGTGGTACGCTCTCGCGGCCGAGACGCATCGGCGTCGGTTGCGCGCCGTGCAGAGCACCACCCTGCGGCGCATCGTCGGCGCGCCGCGCTACGTGAGAAACTCCACGATCCAGCGAGATTTAAAAATAACAACCATAGACGATTTCATCGGCGAGCTGGCGAGGCGCATGTTCGAGCGTGCGGACGCCTCAGGCCACCAGCACCTCCAGCGCCTCGCCCCGCTCCACACGAGACCGCCAGAACACCGCCGAGCCTACCCTAGCGGAACGAGACGAGCCTCACTCACAATAACGAATTTAAAGACGAAAGGACTGGACCCCGCCCGTTGGCGCCTCGGAGCGCGCTGAGGATTCAGCCGCAGGTCTGCCTCGCTGGGCCTCCCTCGGGTTACCGAGGGTCTCACCCGGTGTGGTATGGCCGCGCCCACGCGCGCCCGTTGTCGCCACGGGGGGCGCCACCAGACCCACCGTACAAACATACAAAGCGCTGCGAGAGCGAAGACGCTCCGCAGCGCAAGTGAAGCTCAGGGCCGCTCCAGGCCCGCCACAGCGACCGCCCCGCCGTTGAGCGGGGCGCGGAAAGGATACCCCCCGCAAGCCCATGGGCGTAACGGGGTACCCAGCGCCACCCTAGGGTGATTGCGCGGAAGAAGGCATCATGTTGGAGGCGTGACGTGACAGCGACAAAAACTTTTTTGTCATGCTGACAAAAGTCACCGGTGCGCGCTAGCCCTTAATATTAAAACTCTTATCAATCTAATTCCCATATTTGAAACAAACAATCATGACGAAATATACGGTTAAATTAGGTCCTGTAATACTGTGTTTAAATTGTCATCTTCGTCTAAATGGGAGACTTTGTTAACTTGTGCTCTAAATAATATTAAAGGCATCGCGGCCTCAGAAGTTCGGTGTAAAACGTATGAAATGTGGGATGAACTAAAGAGATTTCTTATTGAGAGATTCGCGAATACTAAGACAATTCAACATTAGAATTTAGAACTTCAATCAATTTTCCAGAGTCATGATGAGTCCTTAACGCAATTCTATCATAGAGTCTTTGTCGTTGCAAAATCTTAGAGAAACTACATTCAGAATTTGGCGATTCAACATAAGACGGACGTGTAGCAACCACCGAGGAAACCGCCTTAAGCATATTCCTCAACGGGCTCTCTTCAGACATGGGTATAATGCTCAGGACAAAAGGTTTCGATACCTTGAGTGAAGCAGGTCGTTTCGCAATGCAAGAAGATCAAATTAGGGCAATAAACAAAGCTAGGCAATTTTTATTTAGACCAGTTCCAACTCCTAGGCCAGCAATTAGGAGTAATCAGAGAGGAGTGCATATCAGAATAATTACCAATCTATTCGAAACCCAAATATTCCATTCAGGCCTCCTAATCCTAGATTTTCTCCAAAAACATGTGCTTATTGTAAAAATATTAGGCGTTCAATAAACGAATGTCGCAAGAGGGCATACAACGAACAAAATAAACAACGCGCTCTCCCTGCACCAATCCGCCATTTAAACTTAGAAGCGATCAACGAAATGAGCGACTCGTTGGAAATCACTATCAGCTCTTACTCGATGAACCCAGCTCTTTAGATTATTCAATGCTTCCACAAATTCCAAAATCAAGTCGAGTGTTACAAAGCACTGTGCCTGCATCCTTGCATAATAAACCAGCCTATCGGAGGCAATGCAAAGAAGCATGCACACAGACAGATTTTGAAGCTAGCTTTATACAGACCTACAAACAGGGTAGCCAGTCCCAAACTTTTGCTCGTAATACAAATTCTACTATTTCTTATAAGCACGATGTATCTCCAAAATCTTCTGAATCTAAAAATCGCACTATACCTTCTAACCTGTATCTCAAAATATCGCTGAATCTTGTAAATCCGCTGTATCTCATACTACTACTAAATCGAATTCAAAATACCATCGAACAACGAGAATATTAAATCTTTTTCTATTTCCGCTTTAAATGATGTACCTCCAGAAAATCTGTTACATGCTACATTTTACATAGATAATAAACCTGTGACTCTTTTAATTGATACCGGTGCTGGTATATATGTCATACGAAAAGATAAAATAGGCTTCGCTTGCATTAACGAATTAAATATACTCTATATTCAAGGTATTTCCAGTTCTCAATCTCAGATGCTGACCTTAGGCACAGCAAATATTTCCCTTGACCAGACACTTTTAAACATTACATTGACAAATGTCAAATTTGCCAACGGAGTAAGATACAAAGAAAAACTTATAAAGCTCCAATGGTAATAACTTCATCATCCACTGAACCTTTTGAACGTGTCTCTATTGACTTAGTTATTCAGAAGTTATTCATGATTCTAACAAGTACATCTTAACTTTACAAGATGATTTGACAAGGTTTGTACAAGCTTATCCTATTGTAGATAAACAAGCAATTACCGTAGCAAAGACTCTTTTAATTTTCTGTCAACATTACGGTGTTCCCAAACGATTCCACTCAGATCAATGTAAAAAATAATCATAAAACAATTAATGAAATTGTTAGGTTCAAATTATACACTAAGCACAGCTTACCACCCTCAAAGTAATGGTTCTATAGAACGTTTCCATGCTACTCTTAGAGATCATATACGATTGTATCATAAGAGAAATAATTGCAATTGGGATCAAATAATTCCTTTCGCAGTTATATGTCATAACACAGCAGTCAATCAATCATTGGGTTTCACGCCTCATGAATTACTTTTTGGGTATAAACCTCGACCACTTTACTCTTTAAAAGAATTGAATGAATATACAACCTGTGATTATTTACATGATCTTTATGAACGACTCAAAGTTTCTCGTGACGTTGCTTTACGTAACTTAAAAGCGATGAAGGAAAAAGCTAAAGAACGTTATGATATAAGTATTAGAAACATCGCTAAGTATAACGTAGGCGATTATGTAATGCTCAAAGTACCTAACCCTAATAAGTTAGATTCGAAATGGGAAGGTCCTTATCTTATTGTCAGAATAGGATTCAATGAAAATCAGAAAGAATGGAAGAAAACAAATAGTGCATGCAAATCGTTTAAGATCATTGCACGAATCATGAATCATTTAGAATAATTATCATTATTAGATTTATTTTTACTATATTTTACAAACCAATTTTATTTATATTTCAGTTTACCAATTGCTATGGCATTTCCCATTACTATATCCGACGGAGAGGAGAATACTCATACTAATTATATACATTTGTATAAAGTGTATAAAACACTAATGGATAATCCTTATTTTACTTTTATCATATGTTCTATAATAAAAAAAATATTTTACATTATATTATACAAAATTTATATAATTATAAAGAAAATAATTACAAATGGGTTTAATTTTAATTCTAAAGAAGTCGTAGTCTATAATAAAAATATATTCAAGAATTTGACTACGATTTATATTTCTTTCAATATCATATTTTACAAAGTAGTTATTTCCATATTTCAGGTGCTCCACAACCTTTGTTGTCGGGGATACCTACATACAAAATATACCTTCTAATTCAGGACAAAAAAAAAAGTGACAACATCAAAAATTTTATTTATAAGAATTTAGAAATATATATTAATGATTATAAATGGAATATGTTGCGAAATTGCATGGAAGTAAACAAATTCAATAAAAATATAAATTACAAAAAAACATGAGATGGGAAAAATTTGTGTTGTGCAAAGTTTGTGAAATGGACCAATGAATAGTGGTCAGTCGAGCATCGTTACCTCCTAAACCTCAACTCTTCTGTTTTTCTCTGTGCTCCCGTTTTTGCTTGTGTTTGTGCTCCTTATTTTGCCTACGCGGTTGCTAAGGCAACGTCCAATTATTTTTATTCAGGACTATATTATGAAGGAGTTGGTGAAATTCTAGTATCGGAAAGCTCTTGCAAACTCATTACAGTAAAAGCCCCCTATTCGCGCTTCCTTTATTCGCGTTTGCACTATTCGCGGATTAAAAAAGTGCAACCCAATTTCTTTATTCGCGGCAAAAAATTTCTTTATTCGCGGATCTAAAATTTCATAGAAAATTCCAATAGGTGTTTAACGCAATATCATATAGATAATATGGAGTGTAAAGGTGGGTACAGACTGGTGAAACGTAACATGCAATGTGTCATGCAATGAAAGAATTTACCGTACACATTGCTGCAATGTATCATGAAAGGTAACACACATTGTAACAATTTCTCATAGTTTGGACGTCTTGTGCGCGCGAAATGTGCATTTCACGCGCACGCTACGAGCATTACAAGCCGCGCGCGGAGCGATCCGTGATTTGTCGGTTTTTCGAACGAACACAAAGGGGCGCGCAGTGTGCGCGGTGCGCCAACGTGGACGGTCGTTTTGAAATCAACGCGTGCACGCAACGAACATGGAGGACGACACTGCGTGGAGTGAGGAAAAGGCATTTTGCTTGATAGATGCGTACAGAGTTCGTGAAATTTTGTGGAACCCGCAAAATGAAAACTATTTTAAGAAAAATCTTAAGCAAGATGCGTGGTCGGAAATCGCAAAGTTGATGTCAATGACTGTAGAAAAATGCAACAGCAAAATTGTTAGTCTTCTCTCTTCATACCGCCGCGAAAAGCTGAAGGAAAAAAAATCAAAGGGGACAGGAAAAGGTAAGAATAATGATTAATGTTTGTATTATTATTGTTGTTTTTTTTTCTTCATTTATAAAGATTAACAAACAGTAGGTAATCACATTAATTAGTGTAAAATTTTGGTAGTTAAATCTATAACATTGTGAAACCAGCAACATTAACAACATAGTATCTACTTAAAGTATAATGGTAGATAAAGGGCATACAGGCAGGATGTCCCGTAAATACATACTGCCACAGCTGATTTTTTTCGCGATTTCGAAGTTGGTCCCATAGTAAAAGTTGTTCGTATTGATGAGTACTTTAACCTCTGGCAGTATGTCGTACTATTTACGGGACAGCCTGTATTGTAATGTAAGTGTATAAAAAATACCACGAGAATGTGTAATTTTTTTACTTCTGACGTAAAACGAGGGGTGTTATAAGTGTGACCCCTAAAACTGTGGGTCTGTCTGTCTGTAGCATCGTAGCGCTTAAAGGGATGGACCAATTTCGATGCAAAAACGAGAAAAAGGAATTCAAACCTCATGTTTCAGCTACATTATTTATTTATCCTAAACAATTAACTTAATGTATTACTCGGTTGCAGGTGCCTCGGAAACATACATAAGTCGATGGTTTGCCTATGATGCTTTGAAGTTCTTAGACGACAGGAACACACCGAGAAAGAGAAAAAATACGGTATGGATTATTCTATGAACATCTGTCTTGCCAAGAAACCTTTCCTTCTTTCGTAAAATAATCAGCCAATTCATCTCTGATAGCATTTAGATGTGCAGGTGATCGTCTGGGAATATTTCTTATGGGCAGTAATGATGTCATGTCGTCATTATTTCGCCTCCATGAACCTTCATTTAACACGTTGAACGCCATGGGGGTCACCGGTGACCTCATCATTCCTCTATCATAGCGCCATGGGGGTCACCGGTGACCTCAAGTTAAAGACATATTCAAACCGTTTTTTCTCGCCGTCTGCCATACCCACTGTTGATTTTAAAGTACTATGTGACCGGCACGGCGCCGTAGAACAATACTTCGCATTGGGACAAATGTACCTAGATAGGACATTGAAAAAATCGAAATATTTTAAAAAAGAAGCAAAAATAAAACTTCGTTCCAAAAATGTTGAATGTTTAACTCAATTCAGTCTTTATTTTTTAAACAAAAATTAGCAGAAAGTATGGTGTGTTGTGTTGTGTACCAATATTACTGAAAAATAAAATTTATCTTTAGAAAAACTAGGAAATTGCAAAGTGTAAAAAAGTTCGGAAAATCCACAAGTGCACGCATTACAACAACCCAACCCTTAGAAATATTAATATTTAGCCTTAATTTTATCAAATAATACAGTAAAAGTTGATGAGAAAACATGTCAGAAAGAAAAACAATAACAAAACATGCATACAGGGTTCACAATTATGTCAACCTAAGCCCAAACCGTTTTATGGTCATTTTACGATGATTACGATTTTTTTAAACCGCCCATTTTACGGTTCTCTGCAATGCCGAAGAATAGGCACCTATTTGGTCACTCATATCTACAGACCCTTCGGATTTATTATGATCCAATATGATCTTCGGCTTCCGAATCTGTTTGCCTTTTTACTCTACCACAGCAAATTTGTCGAAAGCAAAAGCACGTCCCTCTTATCCTTCCATTTTAACACCGTTACTCCGTCTTCATTCTCCACAGCCATTATTTTACCTTTCTACAGTTCTGAATTCTAGAACAGCCTAACCCTCTTGTTTTTTCGCAAAGTGCCGATTAAATGGGTTTGTTTCTCCAATAACCTAGTTCTAAGCTTGTATACCAGTTGTCAGTTGCAAGTAAGTATGTATAACCTAACGTCTTTTTATTTTCGGTATTAGCATCTGTTCGCTATCTGATTCTGAGTGGCAATCATTGTTTCTCAAAGGGTTTTTTGTAAAATAATATGCTAACGCGTTGATTTGTAAATTCTAATTCCTCCATAGCTAAGCCAATACCTAAGGATCTCGTACATTATTAACGCAACCTAAAATAAGTTCGTTATGTAGCGAAAACAAATTTAGTAGGAAACTGATAGAAAGAGCAAAGCAGAGGCAATCGTCGCAAGCGCGAGCGCACTAACACTGTCGAAGTGAATAGCGGGTGGCCGGCGGGGTGGGCGGCACGGCGCAGGGTAACGGCAGATGTATTTTCTGTATTTGTGCGCCATGGGGTGCACCGGTGACCTCAGTTATATATTTGGCTGTAACTATGTAACCCATGGGCAGAATTTAATAAAACTAATTTTCTATACATATATTATCATAATAAACAAATTACAGCAAAAAAGTTTTTTTACGATTTTTGTTTTTTTCTATTGGCGTTTAACGTGTTAAAATTCCTTCTTCCTCCTGATCAACTAATCCTGGAGTTATGAACACATTTCTAGAATGACGTTTCAAATAATTATGTAGAAGAACGATTGCCATAACTACCAATTCAGCATTATCAGGCTGTAAAAGCATTGGTTTTCTTAAAACTCTGAACACAGACGATATAATTCCAAATACGTTCTCAACAATCCTTCTAGCTCTACTTAATCGGTAATTAAATGTTCTCTTCGATGAACCCTTTGGATGTGTCCCACCATATGGTTTCATCAAGTTTTCACTTAAAGCAAAGGCACTATCGCCTACAAAAAAATATGGGATGGAAATATTTCTATCGGGGAGTGGACGCGGCGATGGCAGGTTTATTGTGTGATTCTCTATCATATCATATAATGTGGTATCTTTAAAAACTCCGCCATCTGAAATTCTCCCTTGGCATCCCACGTCTACGAATAGAAAATTATAATCTGCATCAACTAGAGCAAACAAAACGATGCTAAAATTTTGTTTATAATTATAGAACTCGGTTCCGCTTTTGATAGGTGCTTCAAGTGTAACGTGCTTTCCGTCTAATGCCCCTGAACAGTGCGGAAAGTTCCACCGGTCTTCAAACTCCTTGCTTATCTTCAACCAGGCTTCGGCTGTCGTTGGTACCTAAAAAGAAAACAATTAATTATTTTTTGCATTTTTAGGAGTCACTTCATCGCTCAGACTTGGAAAACACTGCCGACCAAAATGTGTTTACCCCTCCAGTACTACCAAATGAATGTACTCCAAAGAGCGCTAAACAAACCAGGAGGGATGACAATGTGCTCTCAGATGTGATGGGAATACTGAAAACAACAGCCAATAAATTGGACAATTCGATAGGTATTCCTGATACAACGAAAAGTTTCGCTTCCTTTATAGGGGCTAAAATGACTAGTTATTCGCCACAAACTAGGACTTCGGTGGAACATGCAATTTTTGAAATAATTATGAAAGCTGATAGGGGATATTACGAATCGTGGCGTCATCAAAATAACCATGCATATGGTTTACACCAAGATGATTATTTATCCAGGGCAAGACGGAACTGTGAGGATCTGACCGGATATTCTAATCGTCCCTCAATGTCGGCCGGACCACCATCGGGCACAAACTAAGCGGGACCCTATGGCTATACTACGGCAAGAAATGAAGATACTACTGACTATCCAACCATCCAGCCGCCCTTGTCGGTCTCTTCACAAGAGTCTTACACGTCTTCTATGGATGACTTTAATGATTTAATGTGATAAATAAAGACACTTCTAAACATAAATAAAGATTTTCATAATACGTACCTTAATGTATTCTTTTAATTCCTCCATTATTGCGGCGCACACTTCAGGTACAATAGCACTTATGGATTGTTTCGATACTCTAAACGTATACTGCAGACTTGTGTAAGAGTCCCCGGAACCTAAAAATCTAAGTGTTATTGCTAGCCTATCTTGGATTGAAATTGGAGCTCTTAAATTTGTATGGTTTCGACTAATTCTTGGTCCGATCATCTCGAGTAAATTTTCAAAGTCTGTTGGCGTCATCTTTGTAAAGTTTTTGTATTGTCCACTTATGTGCTGAAAATTCATATCAGTAAGCAGTTCTCTACCTTCTCTCCGTTTATACAATTCTGTCCGCCACCAACGTCGGGGTCTTCGGCGTGTTTTCATGAGTTGATGTATTATTAATAATGAGGTACTGATAATCGTCATAGCAAGAACGTGGTCTTCGGACTCCATGCTTCGTGTGATCTACCGGTTTAAAAACGTGTATCGAAGGGCCGTGTTCGCGGCAGAATGGCGGATCAAGACGAACGCGGGAGGTTCGTAGTGAATGCGCGTTAAGAGCGCGCTATGCGTCCACGCTTGCAGCGAACATGCAATGAAAGGCAGAATAATACATTTCATGTTACGTTTCACCAGTCTGTACCCACCATAATCCTGATATGAATGTTGTGGAATGCTGGAAGAAATTTGACATAGCAAAATGCATCGTAAACATAAAAGAATCATTGGACGAACTGAAACCACACACATTGAAGTCATGCTGGAAAAAACTATGGCCTGCTCTGACTGCGGAAAATGACGAAGAATCCGTGCAAGTTCAAACTTTGACTGCAAACATAGCCGAAATTGCAAATGGAATAGGACGAGATGGGTTCGAACAGACAGAATCAAGTGACATTCAGGAATTGCTTGAATCGCAAGATGAAGATTTGACTGCAACCGACTTAGAGGAAATGTTAAATTCTCAGCCCATTGAAGAAGAGGCTTCAACTAGCACTGAAAATGTGACATTTACTCTGAAAAATCTTAGTGAAGGTTTAAGAATGGCAAATGACAAATGGCAACATTTCTTTATGAACATTGATCCATCTATGGAACGAAGTCTTAATTTTAAGAGGCAAATTGCTAATGCGACTGCTGAGTATCAGTCTGAATTGAAGGAGTTATTAAAAACTGCCAAGCAAGAGAAAATAACAAAATTCGTCAAACCATTGCCCAAGCCTGAGGATAATGATTACATAATCAAAATGTTCAATAACATTAATAAAATTGATTGTCTTATAGTAGGGGAGCCCAAGAGGGGATTTCGGGATTTACTAAAGCGCGGCAGATTACTATATAGGGGGATACCTTGTACCCGGTTAAGTACCTCCACAAAATATGAGGCCCATATATAAGGCCGCCCGTAAAGGAGACAGGATCAGATTAGTAAAAAAAAATTGACCATCAGAAATTCCCGAGCGCGTCAGATTAAGGTAGGGTGAGTTAATTACATCCTAAAAAGTGTATATTCCACTAATCTGACAATTTGAGAGTGACGGAAAAAAGGGGAGGGCAACAAAGTTGTAAAAAAAACGTCATCTCGACATTCTCGAGCGTAGCTAATTTTTCTTTTATTTTGAAGGAAATAATTCCAGAATAATGAAAAATATATAATCTGACGATTTCCGCAAGCCGAAATAACAAAAATTCGTCGATAAAGTTAAATGCGTGCAGCTGCGTGATGCCTACATTTCCTTAAACCGATCGGAATCTACTAAACGGCGTTCAAAATATTTCCCTCAAAATTACATTTCCTGTGAATTTGAACCGATTCGGACCGATAGATTTTGAGAAATTTTGAAAAATCTTAAAAAAATAAGAAATATTTTTTTTTAAGTGGTTTCTTTATCGATCAACTTCAAAAACTAATCCGCCTTTGAGCTTGAAAAACCACGTCGATCGCCACCAAGCTGGTCAAAAGCGGTTGATTCGTTCGAGAGATATCGTACATGAAAGAAACCCGAAAAGTGTTTTTTCGGGATTACTCCGAAATTTGTGGTTCGATCAATTAAAATTGCAAAATTACTTATGAGAATGATAAAACTGCGTCGAATGCCGCCAACCGCGTGAAAATTGCTTGATCCATTCAAAAGTTATTGCGGTTTGAAAATTCCAAAAATAGTGTTCTATGAAACTTCTATCAGACTTTCGAGCTGGGAGAGCTCAAATGCATAGAAATGTTATTTCTTTGAACTCAGCGAGCTCAAAATATCAATTTTAAGCGCCCAGGAATGGAATTAGCGGGAAGTTGCAGGGATGGCCCTTTAGGTGAACCGTTTTTCTATTTTTTTTTTGTCAGATCAGGCGAATCCCTCTAGATAATCGTCAGATTATGAGACAGTACGTTTAGAACATAAAGATGAACCACATATATCTTAATCTGACGCGCTTGAGTATTTCAAAATTGCGATTTTTTTTTGCAAATTAAGAAAATGGCTGTGGGTTTGCGTCCCATCGAAATCGTCAGATTAGTGAATGAGAGATTTTTTTTGGTGCACTTAACACTCCCTTAGAAAATCTGACGCGCTCGATAAATTTTTTTTTTTTTAATTTTCAACCCTTAAATACAACCACCCGCATCATGCAAACGATCAGATTAACATACGTACATTATTAAAAATACGTAGGGCATAGATGCTATCAATATCTGACGCGCTCGAGGATGTCCATGCAACAGTTTTTTTTACATATTAAACTATCTATAGCCGCTTCCCCCACCGATGAAAAGGAATTTATCATATAACATTTTTTTCTTCTTTTTATCTAAGCTTTGTATCCCAATAGGTCTCTACGACGCTCGAGTAAATCCCCATTTAGCATCGTGGGCTCCCCTACCATTATATATTTGTGTTTTTTATTTTGGCACCTAGGAACGTATCCCCTATAAACCCATATAAATTACCATTCTGTATTCACGGTTTCTGTATTCGCGGCATATTTATGGAACGTATACCCCGCGAATAAAGAGATTTTACTGTATTTATTCTCTAAAACGATTAGTAAATAATTATAATTCTATAATCAAACAAAATTCGAATTTACCTAACGTCGTTGCTACTAGTTCTTTTAATTAATAAAGTATTTTAAATATAGACTCAAGGTTGGATGAATTTTAATATTACACAAGCAACAAGCGTTTCAAGCGCAAACTTATAGACGGTCTAAGCTCAGTACTAAAATGGCTCATTGGTACACCAGACGCAAAAGATGCCGAATACAATAATGAATATATAGATCTCTTAGAAAAGTAACAAATTTCTACTATTGATATTTTAAAACAACAACTTCAAATTCTTTCTTCAACTATTACTAACTTTAACAATACTATTTTAAAAATTTCATACGATGAACATATGATCAACGAAAATTAATTCCTATATTAATTCAACAAATACACTCTTTAATCTCCGTGTATCTGAACAGATCTCAACTGTTTCAATACAAATTTTAGAACTCGTCACGTCTCTAGAAAAACAAATCGATGATATTGTTGCAAGCATTTTATTTATTAAATCGGGAGCAGTTCATCCTTCGGTCATATCTTCAGTAAATCTTTATAAAGAGGTATTAGCATCAAAAGTCATGCTAGAACATCAGGTAACCACCTAGTAGCAACCGTGACTCTTCAAAACATTCACAAAATTCTAAACTCTGCTACAATTACATCATACATTTACAGGAACAAAATCTACTATATAAAAATAAGTCGAGTTTTCCTTCCTGACGCTATAACTCACGAACCGATTTTCACGGTTTGCATTCGTTGGAAAGGTCTCGGTCCGTGAGATTAATAGCAAAGAAAATTCAGGAAAAAATTCACAGAAAAGCGGGAAAATCTTTTTTCACATACAGCGCCATCTCTGATACATAGCATACAAACCAATATTTTAAGTAGATGGCGCCGGTGCGTGATACATTGTTTGATAGCTACTCATTGTTTTCTGCTCAGTTAATTTCATGTGACAAACCGGTATTGTTTTCACTGTGAAATTGTGAAAAAAAAGTAAAAAAAATAAGTTATTTGTTTCCTAACATATCAATAGGAAACCATCAAATCAATCACGTGTATTGTGCAAATTGTTATTCAATTTCAACAGCATTTGTCTTTAAGGTGGTAAGTTGAACTGTGTAAATTATGTGGATCGTGCATTTGAGGTTAAATTCACCACTCTGTCCATAGTCCAAAATGCCTAGAGGACGACGTGCGAACATCGGCCGCCGCACAAGACATGCAAGCCAGCAACAAGTGTATTCACAGAACTTAAGCGAAGAAAGACAAAATATAATAAGAGAAAATGCCCGATTGAGAAAACGCGTGAGCACACGAAGATCATTGGCATCATACAATCGCTTGGCATTCCAATATGATCCCACTGCGAACTACAGTGATGATGAAAATTTAAATATTAGACCAATGACGACTATATGCCGATATTGCAATGCGTTAAAGTTCAAAAGAGAAACCGCTGGATTGTGCTGCGCAAGTGGAAAAGTCAAACTGGATCCATTACTTACACCACCACCGCCACTGAAACCATTGTTCGATGGAAGTGATCCCGATTCCAGCCATTTTCTTCAACACGTCCTTGAATACAATAACTGCTTTCGCATGACTTTCTTTTGAGCTAATATCATTCGCTTCATGCCCACTTGCAAGGTAAAAGATACAACACACATAACCAATCACTCACAACAACACAATGAATTGCAACACATAACAACTACATATACACCACACACTACACCATCACACGATCAGAAGTTACACCGTATTCTTCAACAAATGATTGTGTGCAATTACAGATACAAGGACAAATATATCATTTGCATGGTTCAATGGTGCCAACACCAGATGAACCGCATCAATTTCTGCAAATATATTTCATTTCGTCGATGGTGGATCAGCTGAATGTGCGGTGCAATATACAGGGAACACAACAGTTAAAGAGACGAATTATTGAACAGTTGCAGGCATTTTTTCACGCTAATAATGCTGTGGTAAATATGTTCAAAACAGCATTGGAACTAACTTCTCATGAAGCAATTTCACATAAACCAAAATGACGTCTTAAAATTACGAAAAGTATGTTTATTTATTGTAAAAATCTATTTAAAAGGTTGGTTTGGCTGCCCAAATGCGATCAAAGCTCCAAACCAAGGCCTTAACTTTTTAAAAGACTTGATAAAGTTCAAAGACATTGATTCGAAAATGTCACAAATAACTTCCCAAAAATTTGCAAAACATTTATGGTATCTTTCAGAAGAACTTACAGCGTTTTCTTTTTTTTGATAGTTCTGTGTCGATTGATATGAAATTAAAGAAGGTCGGATCATTGAGAACGAAAGAAAGCGCGAGTCAAAAAAAAACGCATTGAAATTGATTGTAAGAATTTAGATTTAATGTGTACGAAAGAGATTAGTGATTTTGTAACAAAAAGATCTTTTATATTATTCGAACAACTTAAGTCATCGAGTGATTTTCTCAATTTGAGCCCAACAGAATGGCCAAATGATCCAAATTACTTATCTTGTTTATCGGTATTAAAAAATATCAAAGTAGTAAACGATGTTGCTGAGAGAGGGGTTGCTCTAGTTGAGGAATTTAATCAGTTCAACTAAAGATGAAGAGCAAAAACAATACCTATGGAAAGTTGTCCAGCAACATCGTAAATCATATCCAAATTGCAACAAGCAGATTTTTTTTAACTTTAACAGTCAGGAAGAGTAAATATATTGAAAAAAGATTAATGTAAACACATTAAAACAGTTTTTAATTGAAAATTATAAAATAAATTTACTAATCAGGTAATAAAAAAGAATGTTGTTTTATTTCAAGTTTTTACATCAAGTTCTAGAGCTCTTAATAGAGCCAACATAATATATAGATATACCATACCACATGCAGATAATAAGCTCTTGCTCAATTAGTTACAATGTCACACATATACCCAGAACGCACCGAATGCTTAGTTTTATTATTCTGTCATGTACGACGAATGCAGGTTTTTAGCAGTAAGAATAGAATTATATTCAAGTCAGTCTAATATCGACCACCGTAGTAATAGGGTCTTGCATCGACCACCTTAGAATTAGAGTCTAACAACGACTATAGGTAAGAATACTAATTGTAATATTCCTTAATATTAATTGTAATATAGTGTTATATTGATTTTAGCGCGGAAGAAGAGCAAATGACACTGGGTGAAAAAATGGTATTAGCCCTTTGCAAGACAATTCATACTCCAGGATGTGCTGTTTATTTCGATAACTATTTCACAACGCTCGACTTGATCTGGTATCTACGTGAACACAGGGGGATTTTCAGCCTCGGAACCATAAGGCAAAACCGACTCAAAGGTTGCAAGGGACTGTTAAGTGACAAAGAACTTAAGAAAAGAGGAAGAGATTCATTTAGCCAAGTTGTAGACAACGATAGAAAGATAGCTATTGTCAAATGGTACGACAATAAAGTCGTAACTTTGGCCTCTTCTTATGCAGATGCTTACCCAGTTCACGAAATCAAGAGATGGAGCAAAGAACAGAAAAAGAAACTTGGTGTCACGTGTCCGCAGTTAGTTCGACATTACAATCAACATATCGACGTAGGAAAGCATATTTGCTGTAAGTAGACAAAATACCTAAAGTGACTTTTTACTGCCATTAGAATCAGAAAAAAAAACCGCATCGAATGTCCCGGGTCCTGTGTCTCTACGATGAAAAAAAAATTACATACGCGGTTGAAAACGCCCGTACTTATATTTTTTTTAGTAAGATTAAATGCTGTATGTAGACCAAAATCCAGTCATTTTAGACAATTTGTACTTACAGCAAAAGAAAATCTGCATTTTTTACTTTACAAATACTTACTTCTTCCCATTTAAAAACTTAACGCTACTTACAGCATTTCTGCGGCGTGTGATTTTTACATTCGTTTACTTACAGCAAGCTTAGGGAACCTACAGTTTTAGTTTTTTTTTACCATTTACGACATGTTATTACAACCAAACATTACATTACCAAATGACCCACTGCATTTCTAGATCTAATCATAATTATAAACTAATCTTACATCTTGAATTGCAATTGAAAGTACCCAAATACATAAATTTACTGCATACAGCATATTTACCGGCTGTAAATTGATAATATTTCCGCGCGTACATTTTTCTTCCTTAGTTACAGCGTTTTAAAGGTTTGTGATTTAAAAAACTGTATGCTGTAACTAGCCAAACACGTACTTATAGTAACTTTGGATAAAAAGTTTACATTGCAAATGGTGACTGGCAGTTAAATAAATATATGTTTCAAAAATGGTAGCAATATCATGGATACTTTCGACACTATTCATTTTTTTCCGAAATTAATTAAGTTTTTGGCTCTGGTGAACAATTGCAATATGTCTACTTACAGCAAATATGCTTTCCTACGTCGATATGGGAGGCGTTGACTTGTGCGACATGTTGATAGCTCTGTATCGAACATCTTTCAAGAGCCGTCGTTGGTATATGAACATCTTTGGGCAAATGTTAGATATAGCGGTTAACAATGCTTGGCTACTTTACAGGAGAAAATGCAACATGAATAGCCAAAAAAACATAAGCCTGAAAAAGTTTAGACAGAGGTTGGCAATTGAATTGAGGCAAAATAGAAGATCAATTGAGAGGGAACCACCAAGCCCTTTGCCGAAAAAAGCGCTGATCCAAAACCCAAGTGCACCAAGGCCCCCAGTTCCTGTGCGATATGATGGCTACCACCACTGGTCTGAGTATACGACATATGGACGTTGCAAGTTCTGTAAGCACAATAAAACGAACATACATTGTTCCAAATGCAAGCAGAGGTTGTGCTTAGTGACCAAACGAAATTGCTTTTATAATTTTCACAATAAGTAAAGCAGGGCAACCAAAAACAAGTGATAGTTGGTATAGTTTAAGCTACATTGATCTTTTTGATATTTTTTTTAAAACAAGAGCGCTGATTATTTTTTAATAAGTAAAATGTTGATTGTTATCAATATTTTATAGATACTTCATTATTATGTTCAAAACATAAGTGAGTTGTTCATACTTAAAAGTTTTTGGAGTTCCTATTAGTGTTTTAAGCGTAAGCAATGTAACTATGAGACTGATTTGCTAAAATATAATGACTATTTTCCTACGGAATCACTTGTTTCTTTCATTCTTTCTCTTTGACAATGGGAAGTATACTGCACGCGGTTGGAGTGCATTAGTTTCTTATGAACATGATAATGTCCAGTATAGTGGTCCTAAGTTTTTCAGGAAACTGAAATAGGTAGATTTTTTCAGGAATTTTTTCGCGTTTTCCCAACAAGCTAAGAATCGAAATCAATCAATTTTTTACAAATTCTTTTTAAAAAACTATCTGTCGAATTAAGGGTTAATAAAGTTTACTTTTTAAAAAACCTTTTAAATAACGTCACGATTTGACTAGTTAAACAACATTGCTACATACATAGCATGACCAGACGTCCCGTTTTGAACGGGACTGTCCCTTTTTAGAGTTACGAGTCCCGGTGTCCCCGAAATGAACTCTGGGACGCAAAATTGTCCCGTTTTCTGAAACCGTGCAAAGATTTGAGTAGTCGAGCCAGCCGGACGGCCGGCGCAACGCCACGGCCGTCCGTCCGGCGGCGGCCAGACGCTAAGTAACTAATTCTAGAGTAACAAGTATTCATGAACATTCAATATTAATTCCTAGTTTTTCTGAATTTAATGATGTTAAAAATATAAAACTATTTATCTATAAATTTCATAATTATTTTGATGGTTTAATAGGATTAGATTTGTTAGAAAACTGTAGAATTGATTTTAGAGACGATATATTAATCACTGAAAATGCCAAAATTACGTTATCAATGTAAAAGATATACAGAACAAATAATACCAGCGAAATCATCTCGTTTAGTTGGTATACCGATACACCATGACGATGGTGACGTATTTATACCAGAACAATTAATAGGTAATTGCATTATTCACGAATGTATTACTAATGTGTTATGTGACTGATCAGACTGGTATAGTAGAAGTTGAAAAGATGACAAACGAAGACCCTGTAATTCCAGTTGACAGACCTTTACAACTCGACTTATTTAACTTTGAAAGTTCTGATTCTCAACCAGACTCAGACAGGGTAAACCAAGTTTAAGACAGACTTAGAACTGACTATTTGAGTAGTGAAGAACGAGTAAATTTAGAAACCCTTTGTAAGCGCTACGCTGACATATTTTACATTGAAGGCGAATCATTAACTTTCACTAATAGAATCAAACATAGCATTGGAACTCATGATGAAAACCCAGTTTACACCAAAAGTTACCGATATCCCTTTGTACACCGACAGGAAGTTATAGAACAGATTAGTAAAATGCTCGAACAAGGTATAATACGACCTTCTGACTCTGCTTGGAGCTCACCCATTTGGGAAGTCTCAAAGAACAAGACAGGGTAGACAATAATGGGCACTTGTAGTGGACTTTAGAAAGTTAAATGACAAGACCATTGACGATAAATACCCAATTCCAAACATCACCGACGTTTTAGAAAAATTAGGTTGATGTCAGTATTTTACGACCCTTGACCATGCATCTGTCTTTTATTCATAGATAGACATAGATTTCTACGCATGCCAATTCACCTTCGACATTTCAGCGTGTAATGGATATCATCCTTAATTAAGGGTTTACAAAATAAGATATGTCTAGTGTATATCTTGATGACATCATATTTTTTAGTACATCTTTGCAAGAGCATAAAACCAATTTAAAAAAAGTATTTAACAGATTGAGAGAGTCCAATTTCAAGATTTAGATGGACAAATCAGAATTTTTGGAACTTGAAACCGCTTACATTGGTCATATAATCAGTAATGAAGGTATTAAATCGAACCCCGATAAAATTAGAGCCATAGAAAATTATCCTTTACCTAAAACAACAAAAGAAATAAAAAAATTTTTGGACTATTAGGTTATTATGGGAAGTTCATACCAGACTTTGCACGACTGACGAAACCAATGACTAAAATATGTCTTAAAAAGACTAACAAAATAACTTGAGACTCTGAATATATAAAATGTTTTGAGAAATGCAAAACCTTACTAACGATCTTATTTTACAATATCCCGACTTCAATAAAGAATTCATTCTGACAACAGACGTCTCTAACGTAGCCTTAGGAGCAGTACTCTCACAAAGCACAGTAGGCCCTGTTAAACCGATCTGCTATGCTTCTAGAACATTAAGTGACAGTGAATCAAATTACAGTACCATTGAAAAATAACATTTGGCAATAGTATGGGCAACTAATTATTTTAGACCCTATTTGTTTGGTAGGAAATTCAAAATTATAACTGACCATAAACGACTCCAGTGGATTATGAATTTAAAGGAACCGAATTCGAGACTGACACGATGGCGACTGAAATTGAGTGAATTTGACTATAAAGTGATTTATAAAAAAGGAAAGTATAATACTAACGCTGACGCTTTATCCCGTGTATAAATTAATAACGAGGAAATAGAATCACTTCTTAAAGAATGTGGTATAGATGTCTCAGTAAGACCTGAACCACCAGGATCTACTACTGTAACAGCACATACATCCGCTGAAAATCCTATTCTTGAAATACCCATCACAGATGAACCACTGAACATTCCATAGACAGGTTTGCTTGACTATAGAAGGTGACATTCAAAGAAGACCGAATGTAACTAACCTTTTGATACCCACACACGTACACATATACAAGTTTCAAAGTCTTCATTAGAACAAGACGTCATAAATGCAGTAAAAGAATAGGTCAATCCTAAAATAAAGACTTCACCATTAGGTATGTACTTAATAATTCCAATTTTACAAAATAACTTAAAATGTCATTCTATGCATCTGGTTTTAGTAAAAACCGAGTTAGAAAAGTGTAAATCGTTAGTAAAATATTTGTAGTTATATCGGCTGAGTCTTATTCTAGCCAACAAAGGATTTATTTTTCTTGTGGTTGGATCTATTATGCTAGGACCACCCAAGGTAGAAGACACCTCTCCTGAAAAATCGGACGAATCCATAGAACCAAAAGGTCAACCTAAATCATCCCGGCAACCATCTCCATCCTCCAGAAGTTCTAGATCTAAATCCAAAACTACTGAGATGGATATTAATGCCCTTCTTAAATTTATTAAGCCTTACGATAGCAGTAGAGAAAATCTTAACGCTTTTATTATTAAATGCACTAATGCTATGGACCTGGCGTCAGATGTTCAAAAACCAATGCTATTTAAGTACATTATTAATTCCTTAAGAGGGAACGGCTGCTACTACATTTGCAATAAAATAATTTAATGACTGGTCCCAATTGAAAGGATTCTTAAAAACCCAATTTAGTGAACATGAACACTACACACATTTACTAACTGAGCTACAGGAAAGTAAACAAAAAGTAAACGAACCGGTGAGTCAATTTTAATTGCGCGTTGAAACTTCTTTATTTAATTTGTTAACAGAAATTTCTGAAATTTTATTCAAATTTACCCACAAAAGGAGATACCAGGTCGTATTGCCTCTACGGAGGAGATGGCCCTCCATCACTTCCTCATGGGCCTATTACCTAGACTTTCAAACTTAGTTTAAATAGCGCAGTAAATTTAGCGACGTCTGAAGAAAATATCCCGAATAGCCAATTCGCCAAACGCAATACCAGTCAAAGTCACCCTAATAATAAATCTAGGTCCCAAAATACACAAAATTCATCCGATGGAAAACCTAACTCAGAGAAACTAAGAGTCAACTAAGAGAAACCTGTATTTTCAAGTGCCTAAAAAACTTTTCCGAAGAACAACGCCGTGAAATACTGAAAGATTACTGGAATTTAGGAGAGATCGAGAAGCAATGGAGTTTCATTGCTGCATCCGTTGAAGAAGCCATTCCAGCAAATCGTTATGTCAAACTCGATGATGAAGGACAGGTTATTAAACCAAAGCGAACTAATTATGCTTTTAATTTGATTTCGAAGGGGAAGAAATATAAATATAAATAAATATAGAGTATCCAAGGTGTTTTTCAAAAATACGCTTTGTATCAAATAATCGCCCAATAACAACTGCATTAAGCAAGAAAAATAAGAAAACAAATATTTCATTGATGACAGATAACCGTGGACGACATGGAAAGTAACCAAAAATTGACAATAATATTAAAGAAGGGGCCAAGCAGTTCATAGATTCAATACGCAAAATTGAATCTCACTATACACGAGCCCATTCAAGAAGAACGAACCTTCATTGATGGAAGCAAATGGGTAATGTTTTAACGTATTTTTACTTAAGAGCACAACATATCTTTTTTTACCCCAAAAAGAGATATGTGTGACATATGCGAAGCGTTTAAAAATTCATCACCCGAAGAAAAGAAGCCAAAAAGGACGCTTATGAAAAACATCATGAAGAGAAGAGACTATCACGTTTAGAAAAAGAAAAAGACAAGAAAAACGAAGAACTGACAGTATGCGTATATGACTTGCAAGCAGTATTTCAGTGTCCAAAAGGTGAGATATCCGTCTTTTACTACAAATCAAAATTGAATGTACTCACTCAATCTCACACTATATGACGTCCAGAAGAATACTGTAGAATGTTATGTATGGGATAAAGCAAATGCAAGCAGAGGTGTGAACGAAATAGGTACGTATGTATTTAAGTATCTCGAGCAGATATCAAACAGTACTGATATGAATGTAGTATTTTATTCTGATAACTGTGCTGGACAACAAAAAACAAATTTATGGTAGCCATGTACCTTTTTGCGGTTCAGAAATTTCCAATAACACACAAATATTTAATCAGAGGACATACCCAAAATGAAGGGGATTCGGCACACTCACAAATCGAAAGACAAGTGCGAAGAGAATTGCGACGAGGACCTATGTACACGCCCGATGCATTCATCAGTGCTATCAAATCTGCTCGTAAAAAGAGTGTGCCATTCCGAGTGAACGAAATGTGCTTTGAAGATTTTTATGATTGGAAGAATGTATGCACTCAAATGTCTTTGCAATACAAAAAGATGACGAAGACGTTCCAGTCAAAATCAGTGAAGTCAAGATGATAAAAGTCATTAAGGATGATGCTCGAGCAAATTATTACAAAAACTCATATTATGCAGAAGAGGAGTTTAAAAGAGCAATGGTCATAAAGAAAAAAAAAGACATTGATATTGAGGTTAAAAAACCCTACACAACTAAACCAGGACTAGCTAAAAGAAAGAAGGCTGATCTAATGGAACTGATTAACAAAAACCACATTCCGAGGTACTACAGACCTTTTTACAAGTCTTTGTAGATTTAAGTGTTAAATTTTTTATTTAATTAACTCAGATTAGATAATCGTTAAGTGAACTGTGAATTCAGAAATTCCGTTGAACTTTGTGCCATTAAAAAGCAATAATAATAATAATGTTATGTGCCTAATATTTTAAGATTTTGATAACCAAGCAAAGGCAACTTAAGCATATGCAGGAAGTATGTTTGTCCACACAAACGGAATTAAAGGAACTCAAAATGCAACAAGAAAAAAGGGTGCAGAGCATCGCAGTGTCAAATTATGAGCGTGAATATATCTGTGCGTGCTGTGCTTCGCAAAGTGTTGGTATAAATACAAAACAAAACGAAGATAAGTTAGCATATGCCGAAGTTATTTGTAATAACATCAAAAAAAGGTAGCAAGACTACCCACACAAATCTCAATAAAAAAGAGGCCAGGAAACCGGCGTTGGTAAGCGCAGTGGCAGGCGATTTGAGAGTTAGTAACCAAACTACGACCAAAGCTAGTCCGATTCCCAGTGCTTCGCAAACGGTACTCAATGATAGAAATCCTGAGATACTTCGTGGAAGAAATGTGGAATCATTAGAAACACGGGCTACTCAAAGAAAGAAGCACCTTCATATCTGGCGATTAAGTTTAGATACTACAGAGGAAAAATTGACATCGTATATAAAAGGAATATGTGGCATGGAAGTGGACGTTAAGGTTATTAAAATTAAGTCCTCATACCTCTATAGCAGACTGTATGGCGTCTATCCCTACTATCCCTTAATGTACCCAACATTTTTGTTTAATAGCGTTCAGTCTTCGTTTGTCACCCGTTGCCCTTGCAGTTGACTTTTGACTACCATGGCGTACTAAGCAGCAATTATAATCTCTTTATAATACCTTTTTTTTATTCAGATCCATGTGGAACTGGAGAAAAATCTTTTCCAAATTGGGTACACACGACCAGTGTGTTCAGTTTGCGGAGGAGAGGGGTCTCATACCAGTTCAAAAAATCTGCACTTACCACCGAAAGACAATGATTTTCACAAAAGAGTCAGGGCAAGTTGGGAAATTTAGATACAGGAAAAGCATCGTCTCTCGTGCGGCAGGGACTTGGTTTGAAAATGCACACCTGACTTTAATCTTTCAAATCATGTACGCATTTAGTGAGGGCCTATCATACCACCAAACTAGGAAGGAGCTAGCCGGTGATGTCGGCCTGGTAGTTTCAGACAGAACTGTGGCTGACTGGTTTTGTTATTGCCGGGAAACAATAGTAATATATGAATTAGAAAATCAAAGGGCCCAAGGGAAGACAGGGGGCGCTAATTAAGTCGTTCAAATAGATGAAACTAAATTTGGAAGAAGAAAGTATAACCGGGGGGGAGACATATTGAAGGTCATTGGGTGATTGGCATTATAGAAGATGACGACAATGACGATCTGCGGCTTGAGGTGTGTCCCGATAATGAAAGGTCTGCGGACATATTGGTGCCACTCATAAAAAAACATTTTTAGGAAGGCTCCATCATTCACACACATTGTTGGAGAGCATATCTGAGCCTTCCTGAGCATGGTTATATTCATAAAAAAAGTTAATCATAGCGATCCAATTGACAAATTTGTGGCACCAGACGGGACATACACGCAGCGTATCGAGCCAGTGGAGAGGACTAAAACAACAATTTAGACAACAGCAAAACAAGCATAATTTTACTGATTGGTTGTGCGAGTTCTCATGGAGACGAATTTTTTTTTTACAAACCATTTAGATGCATTTGAAGTATATATAAGTATGATAAGTGCAATTAAATATGTATATAAAATAGAATAAAGCTGACTCATTTTTAGTTCCACCTTAGTACTTTATTGCGACAGGGCGATTGCAAAGGAATATAATGTAAAAAGGCACTATGAAACGCAGCATCCTACTTTAACCAAGTTTACAGACGAATTAAGAAAGCAAAAAATTTTGTCTTTAAAACGGGAGCTTATTGGTCAGCAAGCTGTGTTTACAAAACCTATTCAAGTTTCAGAAACAGCTACAGAAGTTAGTTATGAAATTTCTCGAACGATAGCAAAGCGAAGTCGCCCCTTCAATGATGGGAATTTTGTAAAAGAATGCATAGAAATTGCCGCTAAGAAAATGTGTCCAGAAGCAGCAAAAAAGTTTTAGAAAATTCAACTGAATCGTATGACTATCCAAAGACGAATTATGTCTTTGTCAGGTAATATTGCGGAACAATAAAATGAAAAATCTAAGATCATAGAATTTTTTTCATTAGCACTCGACGAATCCGCTGATTCGAATACGCTGATGGAACTAAGTTCCACAGCTCAACTTCTCATATTCATACGAGGTGTTACTCAAGATTTTTAAGTCTTAGAAGAGTTATTAGGAATGTGTTCATTGAAAGGTCAAACCAGAGGAGTTTATATACTCAATGTACTTTTGGATGAGTGTTCAAAAACTGATTTGGACTTATCAATATTATCGGGAGTTGCGACTGACGGTGCTCCTTCGATAATTGGTGTCAATTCTGGGCTAGTTACTTTGCTGAAAAAGCATCTGCAAGAAAAAAACATAAACGCTGAATATCTCATGCAGTTTCACTGCATTATACACCAAGATGCCCTCTGTTCTAAGAAAATTGAATTTCAAAATGTCATGAACGTGGTAGTTTCTGTAAATTTCATAAAATCACGAAGACTCAATCACAGGCAATTCAAACAATTCCTTGATGACATCGAAAGCGAATATGGAGATTTACTGTATTATACAGAAGTAAGGTGGCTAAGTCGTGGATTGACACTGGAACGATTTCTAAATTTAATAGAAGAAATTGGAATATTTCTGGCGGAAAAGCAAAGGGATGTCCCGGAACTTAAAAATCCTGATTGGTTGTGTGATTGTTGTGAGCTCTACGCTCATGTATCATCCTTTCAATGCAAGCTGACACTTTTCAGATCGCAACTGAATTCTGGAAATTACAATCATTTTCATAATTATAAGAAAATGGCTGAAAAATTCAACAAAACTGCGATTGATTTTAGTTAAATAATTATATGTCCTTTACAGTCTCCAAAATGTATCTGTACAAATATAAATAAGTTGGGGCATTCATAACAGCTAGCTCCTGTATGTTCAGCGGGACCTTTTCAGGCTTCTCATAAATTTATAAAAGTTCACCCGACAACACAAGGCGCTGAATGTTGAAGGACGAACACTCGAAGAAGAGATGATGTAGAGATTGAACACTTGATGTATGACAATGATCACAGCATGGCGAACTAACCATTTTGAGACGATGGAAATGGTAATTTAAACGACAATGTCAAAGCACATACGATAAATAATTGAATATTTTTTTTTTATTTATGAAGTCACCTTTTCTACAGAACCAAGGTACAGAGTTAATTTGAACATCCAAACTATTATACCAAGCACCCTTGTTTTCATTTTCTATGCAGTGATATAAATATTTATCCCATGCTTCACACATACGCCGTTTTAAAAGACTAACTGCATCTGTGTGGGGCACAGACACATCAATATCAGAACAGGGTATTATTAGAACAGGGGAACATTAAGTTTTCCATTTCAACAATTTTTTTGAAAAGAGAATCTGCTTTTTCATACCTACTACACCAATATGCGATGGTACCAAAACAAAACGAACAACTATGTTTAACTGTGACAATTCAACCCATAGTTCTTTTAACTGATAAATTATATAATTAGTATAAGTTTTTTAAAACACTCATACTATCACTTACTATGATCCAATATTTATGTTCTGAATAACAATTTTTAATATATTTCATAGCATTTAAAATAGCAACAGCTTCAGCTGTAAAAATACTAGTAGTGTTAGAAATTCTCCTACCAATAGCTATATTTGAAGAGGGCTCATAAAAAGCAAAAGACACGGCTGAATCACTCTTGGAACCACGTGTATACATCATTTTATGATCTGACCACTGTGACAACAATGTATAAACTTCCTTTTTTGAGGGCAAATCCTTTTTCTTATTTATAATTATGTCCATTGCTGAAACTTAGTATCTAAAGTTCCTTCATGGCAAGGTAAAATGTGTTTAGATTGATAAATATTAATATTATGAATAAAATCTATAAAATTTGGAAGATTTTGCGACATATAGAAAGGTTTTAAAACTTTGCGAGTAGGTGAGTGCAAAAAATTTATGAAGAGACTATTATTAGATATACTGTATCATTTCAAAAGAAACCTTTCTTTCAAGTAATTGAATCAAATAGCTAGTAGTGGAAGATTACATTCAATCTGTAATGCAATCATCGAAGGAGCACCGTCATTTGGAAGATCTTGCAACATATAGAAAGGTTTTAAACCTATGCGAGTAGGTGAGTGCAAAAAATTTATGAAGAGACTATTATTAGATATACTGTATAATTTCAAAAGAAACCTTTCTTTCAAGTAATTGAATCAAATAGCTAGTAGTGGAACATTACATTCAATCTGTAATGCATTTACAGGAATACTTCTGAATTCCCCAGTTACAAACACGCAAACACTTATTTTGCAAAATATTTAAACTATTTACAAGTTTAGAATCTGCAGCAAAACAGTAAAAACCATATTCAAAGTGACTACGAACTAAAGATTTATACAACAATAACAAAATTTTAGGGTCTGCACCCCAGTATGTACCACTCAAGGATTTCAATATATTGTAGGCTTTATAAGCCCTACCAATTAGGTGTTTTATATAAATATTCCAGGTCAAATTACATGAAAAAATTACTCCCAAAAATTTCACCTCAAGTGTAATAGACAACATGCAATTGTTATACATCACAGCAGGAATACTAAAATTCTCTTTACCAAATATAACAACTTTAGATTTAAGAGGATTAACACAAAGATCAAGGCAACAGAAGGCAATATTTATACGAATTCTTTCGATGCATAAACAACTAAATCATCTGCAAACTGTAGGTTTTTAACCCTAAAATTAAATTTAAACAACGAATATACAATATGAACATCAAAGGTGATAAGATACCACCTTGACAAACTCCTTTTGTCAACAGTCTAGGGCCATAAAGATGTTTATGAAATTTAATGAATACTTCTCTGCTATTGAGAAATTTTATAACCCAGTTTATAATTTTTCCATTAATACCTATCTGACAACTCATTACACAAAACATCTATATTTACACTATTAAAAGCACCAGCAATATAAAAAAATACAGCAACCAAATTTTCATTTTTGGACAAGGAATTATGTATATCAAACTGTAATTGGCAAACTTTCCCTAGAAGAACGATTCCTACGAATTAAGAAAACCAAACTGATTAGATGGCAAAATACTATATTTTTGTATATAGAACACTAAACGTTATTTTAAAACAAATTTCAAGAAGATTATCACAAATCGCAATGGCTGACGCTGGCCAAGAAAGGGAAAGAAAAAAAAAACACAAATCGCAATAGCGGTTGACACTTGACAGATATCGTACTTTGATTTGACGGCTGACACTTGTTTTTTTTGATTTTTGTTTTAGGCGTAGATATAGTATATAACTAGATGAGCTTCTAAAATGACAATAAATAATAATAACTAAAGACTGTAAAAGCTATAGTGAACGTAAAGAACCAAACATAACCTTTCATCGGTAAGTAGCTTATTTTGTCACGACTCAGTAACTTTGTTCAAGAATTATTCATTCGAATGTGTATTTTGGTCAATAATAATCTTCAATAAAAAAAAAAATTGTAAATAATAAAACTGTAAATACGACATATTATGTCAATCATTCGCTATCTCACACGTTGTACGCTGATGCCTGGTCTATACCATAGTCCGTCTACGGTTTTAGGCCATAAGATTCTATATTATAGTAGACCCTATGTATACAGGGAAAATTTAAGGTTCCTGTGGATATTTTACCTCTACTTGGTCTGGGATAAGTGTTGCCAACTTTGAAACCTATCAGATGGTAGAATGCTTCTAAAAATACGATAAATTTTCCGAAATTATGTTGTAATTTATATTTGAAATACGGTAGAATTACCGTCTTTTTTTTGTAGTATGTTAAGAGAATGGCTCTTGCTGTGCCAAGGTCCATTCTAAATCATTCGTGGCCGTAGATGACCGTGAGCGATTGCTGGTGTCACCGTGGTGTTTTAGGGGTATGCACAACAGCATGTCCCACATAACTCTTCAAAACCAGGCAACCGCGCCGCGGGAGGGTATGCGTAACGCATTTCCCCACGAAAAACAAAACCCCCATCATTGTATTGTATCCATCACAGCCGAAACCTATTATGTTTTTCGAAGGGATCTCATACTTTTGAAATGTATCAATAATAACAGTATTAAAAAGTTTTTCGCTATTAACAAAATGATCGGTTGTGTTTTCATCGAATAATACAACCACGATTAATAGGTATTACGGTGTATTTTGCTACCTTATTATAATTGTACGGTATGTGGTAGATCTTTGCTGTAAAGTAGGGCAGCCAGATGTACCAATTTAAAGCCAGGAGCACTTTTTGTGAGGTCGAAATGGTTTCAGAATATGGAGTTTTAAAGTTATACTCTTCAAGGCAAAGGCAGCTAGTCATTTTAAATAAAAACTTGCCACTTTTATGTTCTACGATCTTTTCATCTCAAAATTTCCTTGGAATACGATTTTTGAAGTTATACTTCTTTAGGCGCGTTATGAAAAATTGATGAGAGTGACATTTTACGATGCGCGCGCACCGTGACACAAAATTATCAGAATGAAGTTGGCCCATAAACGAATTGTTTTTAAACCAGCCGGGTGCCGAGCGTGCGCGAGCGAAATGGGAATAAGACAATCTACAAGTAAAAAGAAATAGAATATGCGTGAAGTTAGCAGCTATGCCAACAATTTTGAATGACCATAATGACCTTTGTAGTACCTTTTAAACAAATAAAGGAGTTTTAATTATTTTTTCAAAGAAATTTAGCCATGCTTTTTCACAAAGACCTATTGTTACTTGGTGAAAAGGTTATGAAACATACCTAGTTATTAAATTCAATGAATAATATATTAAATATTATAAAATTACTAGCTGACCCGGCAAACGTCGTTTTGTCATGTTTATCATTTATAATAAAAAATAGGGGTTGATCGTAGAGGGGTGAAAATTAGGGTTTGTATGTATTTTTTAATGCTGTATCATAAAAAATAAAGAATAATATTTTTATGTAAAATTAAAAAAAGAAATCGGGGAGGACTACCCTTAACATTTAGAGGGATGAAAAATAGATGTTGTCCGATTCTCAGACATACCCAATATGCACACAAAATTTCATGAGAATCGGTTGAGCCGTTTCGGAGGAGTTTAACCACAAACACGTTTAACCACAGACACGAGAATTTTATATACATATTAGATTAACGTTAAATATTTATTATAAATTATTAAAAATTAAAAAAAGCCAAAGAAGTGTAACTTCTTACGCGCGTACATAAGTACACGCACCCTTTTCTGTTTAAGTATCGCATTATTATAATGTACTAGCTGCCCCCGCGAACTTCGTTTCGCCTTAATATTATATTTAACTTAGCCTACCCATTTTAGTAGCTACATACCAACATATGGAAATTTTGCTATGCTACCCTATTTTTTTGTAGTTGGTGTACGATCATGCGTTTTTTTCATCTGGCAGCCCTGCTGTAAAGTGATCGCAGATTCTGTAATCTGTCTCTCTGTTCTCAGTGTAGTCAGTAGTCAGTACCTATACTACATCTGTGGAGTGTGGTGTATTGTGTATTTATATTAATATTATGCTAGGTTATAGCCAATACTCGTTAGTCGTTGTATACTCTTTTCCACCGAGTATAGTAATAACTTACTTATATTTTATATAGACGAAAATGGACCCATTAGAAGACGAGATATGTTATGGATGTTTAAATTCTGAAAGAAAATTATCTAACCTACACGATTTTAGTCTCAAGGAATGTTTTAAACTTATTTTACAAAAAGCAACAGTGAGTATAATATGGATTCCAGAAAATGTAATTGAATCATATTACTTCTAATAGCTGACTGAGATCTTAAGTAACTAAGTTCTAAGGCGTGTAAAAGACTATTTAAACAACTTACCGAAACTGACTTCTTTTATTTCAGGTATCTATGGAATCTATCCAACTATGTTTTGAATGTGTGGCTATACTCATAAAGATTAAGAGATTTCAAGAAAGAGTAATAAGTTCAGAAAATCTTTGGAAGTCTATGAAGAAGGTAACATTTTATTTATTTTGTTTATATTTAACTAATGCTTACAATAATTACTATAAAAACTGCGTAATTACAATAAAAACTGAATGTAGGTGACTTTCTCACCTGATGATTGTACAGTAATGTTCCAATCTTTAACGAGATATCAATTAACTAATGGCTAAGAATGCTATTTTTACATACATTATGAGTGGGGGGAATATTACAATATTATCAAATTTTGCAAGAAAAAAAAAATCTGTCTAATTGCACTCTCTTTAACTAAACTGAGATGAGTACTTTAGTTACAATGGTGCATTGACATTGTTCAATTGTTTTTGAATAAACAAGTATAGAAAGTTTTATCTATGTTATTAATTACTGATTTTAAACTATTTATAATTTTAGAATAGATTACAATCACAAACCAGCTTACAAAAAAATAATCTCTATAATTTTTCATTATTACAACACACAAGTGCAGAGAATTGTGAAATAATACAAACATCACTTATCATAAAAAAAGAAAATGATGATTTAGACGAGATAGATAAGGATGACTTCAAACAAGAGATTGAAGACTTTAGTACAGAAGCAGATATAATAAATGAAGACTTGAAACTAGATTTATTGAAAGATTTGACTCAGAAAGAGATTTATACTGAGGTGAAATTAAGTAGAGAAGAAATTGAAAAAGAAAGGGAGGAAATAAAAATAAGTGATGCTTATGTTAATGCTATGCTAAAGTGTGAATTGTGTATAACTACATTTACAAATAATGAAGATCTAAAAGAACATATCAGTGATAAACATGGTGAAGTAAGTAATTTTTATTTAATTCAATCCCATCCAATCTAATAGCCCATATATTTCAATCAGTGATCAGCCCTCCGTGATAACATTAAACATATTTCAAGTCCTTCAAATTATTGTTGTGCTCTCTGTATTTCACACTCGAAAATATGTATTCTACATACTGAAGCTTTTTTTAACAAGACATGCTGATAAGCTGAAGGCTAATTTGAATGTAACAACACCCATCCATAGACCACCCATCCATAGACCATCCATCCATAGACCACCCATCCATAGACCACCCATGGACACTCCCGCTGGTGTACTTTAGTGTGATAGCTGCAGTGTAACAAATTAAATTTTATAAAATATGTTAAAGTCTTACTGCAGTAAGGTTCGGGGGGAGTAGTAATCAAACAATTGGATGCTCGAATAATACTGTCTCTATATTTGAGTAAATGTTCCTTTTATACGAGATACAGATCTTTAGAAATTATGTAGAGGTGTCACCACATTGCAGTAATCTAATGTATAAGTGTTTTGTACAAGTTCTTTTTTACTCTAAGAACCACAACTCTTGACTTAGAAGTGCAAGGCGCGTTTTGATAAGGGCGTACTTTCTTAAAAGAGCAGCAACGCATTTGTGAACCTTCTGGAAGTGTGAGTGTAAAAGAACGGCGGCATCAATCTACATTAGATGAGCCTTTTTCCCGTTTGTCCCGTGTTCTATAGAAAAAGAAACAGTTCATCCTAGATTAAGATAACCTTTAGTTTTCACAGCAGTTATGATTACAAAATCGACATAATTGTTTTTTTTTCCAGAAAACAAAATACATCTGTACAATATGCAAGTGTACATTCAATTCTGCGATATCTTTTAAGTACCACACAGATAGACATAAAAAACGTTATCAGTGCATGGTCTGTAACATAAGATTTTTATACAGAAGGGATGTCATCAAACATTTTAATTTTGTACACTGTCATGGGTGAGTTTTATTCAGTATTTTAACAAGCTATTTGACATACTACACATAATACACATTTGAGGGGTAGTTCTTTAAAACTTAAGACCACTCAACACAACACAAATTCCCTAAAGAACTTTCTCCCAAACCGAGTAGTGGCCGACTGGAATTGGACTGGAACTGGCTTCCGGAAAGTGTGATCAGTGCACCATGTGTGAACACCTTTAAAAATAGATTAGATAAGTATCTCCAAATCTCATAATACACGCGCATCAGCTTATTAAAAGCTGCCAGTGTGTTAAGTAAATAATAATAATAATATATTTGAAACATCTCAAAGTCATTACATTGCGCTACTCACTAGTTTTATTGCTTCAAACATTAAGAGAAAAGGTAGAAAATACATAAAAAAAAATAATTTTCTAATTGATTGTTATAATTTTTCTATACTTGTATGTTGTACTACCAGAAACATTTAAAATATGTTGCCAAGCGCAACCGTACATGGCAATTTTATATATAGTGTATAAGTAGTTGTGTTGGTGTTGCATAGCTTCCTTCATTTCCCCTCTTCTTCGGCTCTGGGCCTCAGATTTCTGTATCTGTTTCATGATCATTTGTCAATCTAATAGGCAAGTAGGTGATCAGCCTCCTGTGATTGACAGGCCGACGATTTTTTGGGTTTAAGAAAAGCCGGTTTTCTCAGTATATTATCCTTCTTCGTTCGAGAGAATGTTAAATGCGCACATGGTAAAATAGTCCATTGGTGCACAGCCGGGGATAGAACCTACGACCTCAGGGATGAGAGTCGCACGCTAAAGCCACTAGTCCTAACTGCTCGTAAATATTTACAATTTCACTTAACTTGACACTACAATATGTATAATTGCAATTGTTTCGTACATAATTTATATATTTTAATTAGCAGACCGGCCAAGCGTTGCTGTGGCTAAGGTTTTTGTTATCCCTTTTAAGTAAGAAATACCTGTGTCAGGGTTCCCAGCTCTTCCATAACAAACTTAAATATAATTCCTTAAAATCTTAATATATATAAATCTCGTGTCACAATGTTTGTCCTCAATGGACTCCTAAACTACCGAACCGATATCAATCAAATTTGCACACCGTGTGTAGTTTGATCCAACTTAAAAGATAGGGTAGTTTAAATCTCAAATTATAGTCGCAATTTTAATTTATTGCAAATATTGGTTTATTATTTGATACAATTCTAACAGATGGCGCTGTGTTCAAAGTAACATCGTTTCACATAAGTTCTCCTACCGTTTCCCTTGAATAGTTTACTACTATGTAATATAACAAAAATCTTAGCCACAGCAACGCTTGGCCGAGTCTGCTAGTATATTTATATATTATAATCTAATTACATCTTTTATTTAATTTACTTTTCAACTCTTATTAACAAATAATTTGCAATAAAATAATATTGCGGGTATAAATTGAGATGTAAGCTATCCTATCTTTTAAGTTAGATCAAACTGCACACGGTGTGCAAATTTCATTGAAATCGGTTCAGTAGTTTAGGAGTCCATACCGGACAAACAACGTGACACGTAATTTACATATATTAAGATGTAATCATAATTTATTTGTAACAAAAGTTTTTCTTTTTATTTCAGAGTAGACAATATAACTTATGAGAATGGTACACAAGAGAGACTAGAGGCACCACCAGATATGTAAGTATCTTTTGTTAAATTTTTGTACATACACGCGTCAAAATTAACTCAGAATGGAAAGTTTGAAATGTCATTAGTTTATATCTAAAAATCTCAAAAACTACTACTATACTAAGTATACAATTTAGTTTTAGTTTTGTTCATAAGTCTTATGTAATATACAGTTTTTTATTACATATTTCCCTTCAAGATCCTTTGGCCCACGGAACTAGAAATAAGAATTAGTTATTTTTTAATTCTGTTGACCTTTTGTTAGTCTAAACATTTCTTAAGTTTGATTTGCACCATTATTTTCCGCCGGTCTCCTTACATACTACCGTAATATTATTGAAAGAATATAAACTTTTTTTTTATGATTGGACAATTCACACCAATTGACCTAGTCCCATGCTAAGCTGGTGAAGCTTGTGTTATGGGTACTAGGCAACGGATATACATACATATTATAGATAGATACACATATAAATACATATTTAAACACCCAAGACCTAATCACAACACCAAATGCTCATCACATCGATGTTTGTCTCAGCCGGGGATCGAACCCGGGACGGGACCCATGGATTTGCAGTCAGGGGTACTAACCACTAGACCAATGAGCCGTCAAACTGAACAACTTTAAGTGGGTTAAAAAATAAATTTTACCCTTACAGCGATAAACAAGATCGATTTTCGTGTGACGTGTGTGAGAAGTCGTTTAGATGGAAGGCGTCTTTACGGAAACATATGGAAGGGCATCGCATTGCGAGTGGACAAAAGCGGAAGCCATACTGTGAGCCATGCAAGTACGTATTATGTCTAAAGTTTGCACGGAAAAAGAACTATCTTACTATCTTTTTATAGACAACTATTAAGGTATTGTAGTTTTTTGAAGTGAAACTTCTTTATCGGGGTTGGAAAAAAATTTAGTGTAACATTTTTTCGTTACGCGTCACGTTTTTTGGTTACGCGCCATGTTCCTTTTTGAAGTCAAACTTCTTTATCGGCGTTGGAAAAAAATTTACCGTCACATTATTTATTATTCGACACTTAATATTTTAATGACAATTAAATTCATTAAATTCCTAACATATCTTCCTTTTTCCGTCCCTCTAAGTATCGGAAATCTAAACTTTTAGATTTGTATATATATGAACAACACTTCTAGATTAGTTTGCCACTGAAGTTTCACTTCTGACATGTGTACTTTGTACACACGATTTGACGTAACGTCAAAATATGCACAGTTCCTTGAGTGTCGTTATATAGAGTTAATACACTGTATATTGAATAATTTACAACTTCAATATTGTTATTTAATACTTTAATTTTACTTAGTTTGTTTTACTTAAACCTATACAAAATATACATGGTTCTGAATTCGATTTCCGGCGTAACAGCGTGTGGAAGTCTCAATTACTGTTCTATTGGTGAGATTCAGTGTCTATCAAATCCATGATACAAAACTACTTCAAACAAAATGGTTTGTTTCAGAATACACTTCGCAACCACAGCAAATCTTAAGAAACATGTCCGGATGAGCTCCAAGCATCAAATACAATTGAAATTAAGGTTAGATTAAATACTGCCGACCTTTGGGTCTAAACTCTAAAGGTGGGAACTGACCAACGTTACGAGGTGTAATGTAACATGTAATGTAATGTTACATTACACCTCGTAACATTGGTCAGTTCCCACCTTAAGGCATAGCGGTTGGTCATGATGTTTTCCTTTACCTGTGAGTGAGTGTTAAATGCGCACATAGAAAGTAAAGTCCCTTGGTGGGGGGATGGGGGGAGCTCAAGTTCGAAATTACGACCTCAGGGATGAAAGTAGCACGTAGTAGACTGCTCAAGGGAGCGTTCAAGTATTACGTCACGCAATTTTTGGACAAAACCCCCCCCCTCCCATGTAACGCGCCGTAACGTTTTTCTGTACCCAATAGTAAAACGTTTCGTGACCACCAAAGTGACTCTTTATACCATAAAGTTATCATTATGTGGTGTAAAGTACTGGAAAGTCGAAAATAATATTAACAATAACGCGTAATTCAATCCCCGCCCCGCGTCGTAACGTTTTACTAAAAGAAAAAAAAAAATCGTTACATGATACTTGAACGCTCCCCGAAGTGCGCGTCAAGATTTGAAATATTTAGAAATAAAAGGGATAAATAAACTAATAATTGTTTCAGAAAACTCAAAGATTCCAACGAAGACAAGACAGATGTGATAAAAGAAATACGCACTTCGGTAAATAGTGCGCGTGAGACGTATTCGTGCTCGCAGTGTGATAAGAAGTTTCAATGGCACGGGAATCTAATGCGGCATATGAATAGTCACAGGGCAAAGTAAGTATCTAGACTCAAACCTAAGAACGTGCGTTTGGACCTTAGCTGTATATATTAGCTTAGCTTATATGTATAAACAGTGTATACTCTTTATAACGTCATTCGTTATAACGGAAAACCTTATATAACGTCGAAATAGTTATATTTGTTTGGTTTAACACAAAACCCATTCATAATTCACTTTTTAAACGCAACAGCTATTCTCTAGAAGAAATATTTTCATATTTAGACATCAACGACATACATAAGTGTACCTCCACTTTGGTCATGAGACGACTCATTGGTCTAGTAGTTAGTACCCCTGACTGCGAATCCATGGGTCCTGGGTTCGATCCCCAGCTGAGACGAACATCGATGTGATGAGCATTTGGTGTTGTACTTAGGTCTTGAGTGTTTAAATATGTATTTATATGTCTATCTATCTATAATATGTATGTATATCCGTTGACTAGTACCCATAACACAAGCTTCACCAGCTTAGCATGGGACTAGGTCAATTGGTGTGAATTGTCTTTAAAAAAATAAAAAAAAATTGTTTTTATAATCAGCTTACAAAACTAAGCTATTGAGGTGCCGAATTTTTTAAGAAAGGCACCTGAGGTCATAAACAGCCGTCTCGCCTTTGTTATTGTTGATTGCATTACCACGTGTGCCATTATTCTTAGATTACATTTCCTGTAGGACATTTTGGTCTAGTTACTAAACGCACCACCGTCACCTTTCGTGTATTATCAGTCGTAAACAAATTTTGAAACTGTCAAGATGGCCAGTAAAAGAAAAGCGTTATATGTGTAGAATAATTAACCTATTGATATTAATAATAGTAGAAATTTTTGTAATTGGTTAAATTTGTGTTTTTTTATTAACTTTTTACACGCTTTATATTAGCTTCACCTGTATGTATGTATGTATGTAACCGACTCCTTCGGACTCGATTTTGACCCACTTTTAACGGGCAGATTTAATTCAAACTTTACGCACCTGTCAAAGATCGATGACAATGCAATAATCCGAAAAAAAAAATGAAAAAAAAATAAAAAAAAATTTAACTAAAAAATAAATAATAGTTTAAAAAAAAATAAAACCGGGGCGCTCTGTGCCATATTTTTCGTGTATCGAGCAACCCACGCTTTTTCACAATAATACCAGTATTCTTTGTTCATTACCATTTTCAGCCTAAATTAGGAATTACTTTTCACTTTTTAGTTTGATGTGCCTTAAAAGCGTGTTTTTTTTAACTATTATTTATTTTATAATTATTATATAAATTCATATAACGAAAAAAATGCTCGGTCTCTTGAAATTAGTTATAAAGAGTTTACATTGTATTTAAGTGTATTTCGTAACAGACTATTATAAATTTTGTTGATGACCTTTGGCTAGGACAAAAAATATAAAGCTATATAATTATAATATACAAGCTTGGATTGTCAAGCAAGAATGAAATTAAATATTCCATAAAAATCACAAACAGTATATGACACAAGGCACTAACAGTTAGTAATTAAAATATAATACTGGATCTATTTATATGGACCATCCACGGGTAAAAGCCTCCTCCAAGGAATTCCATTTTATTTTTATCTTTTGCTGTCTTTAGCTATCTTCGCCCATTGTCATCGTAATTTCATATCCATCCAGCACAAGGCCAGCCTCTTGATTAGTCTCTCGTATCTGGTGACCATTTCCATTTTCTTTGAAGGCAGAAAGCTAAACAGTGTATGTAGTTCTTTTTCGGATATCTTCTTTCCGCACAGACTATACCACACAAATATAATTTTAGGGCATCTGGTGAACTAGTGTGTATGCCGTGCAATCGTTCTTTCTCTTCAATAGCAACGTATCAACAGCATATGAAAATCAGCAAGAAACACGTCTCGGAGAATGATTTTAAGTGAGTAGGACTGTTTTTATTATAAAAAGATTGCTTATGTTTTGAAAGAAAGAAAATTATTTGGTGAAATTTTTACAATTTATGCGAAAACTTATATTTATTCATATAGAAAATGCCAAACAATTATGTGTGGTGGTTAAGTGGCGCGCTGGCATAAATAAATAAATCAAATTATTCTTTTTTTCGCCCAAGTTCCTATTCCTTACAAACAAATATAAAAATAAACGTGTTTCTACTTATGTACACGCGTTACAAGTTATACTTCTTTGGCGTAATAATTTTCTTTAACTTAACTAACTTTAACGTGTCAACGTCCCTCTAAAGTTTAGAGGGACGTTGACACGTTAAACGTTTCCGTCTTCGAATTGCATTTTAATGGTGACTTCCAATCGAAACGATATATTATGTTCTAATCATGATATTTTACTATAAACACTATGTTTTTGGTTTAAATAAAGACAAATCTGAAAAACTCTACGCCATGACAGACAATACGACTTGTCGATAAACAGAGCCGCGTGCGTCCATCAGCCTTTGCCTGACGCACGCCGTCGACTTTTTGGGTCTAAGGCAAGCCTGTTTCCTCACGATGTTTTCCTTCACCGTTCGACTGAATGTTAAATGCGCACATAGAAAGTCCATTGGTGCACCGGGGATCGAGTCGCACGCTTAAGCCACTAGGAATATAGGTACAATAAAAAGTCATTCACAGGTACATGTGCAGTGATTGCGGGAAACGTTTCGCGGATAAGACTCGGCTAAAGGATCATATAGATTGGGAGCATTTGAAGAATTTCAAGCACACATGTAGCGATTGTCAAAAAGTGAGTACATGTAACGATCAGCAATACTGATTTTCAGTTGGCTTATACTGTCTTGGAGTGTACAAAACAAATTATTAACAATAAAATAGAAATATTAAAAAACAGCTTCCAAACTATCAAGAAATAAGTTGTTATATGTTTACGAACAATATTCTTATGTGTGTAATAGTTTATCTAAATTATAATTACGTAAAATTTCAGGCGTTTAAAACCCGTACATCGTTATATCTCCACAAGCAAGTGGTTCATCAGAGGGACACAAGCGAACACCTATGCGATACGTGTGGAAAACATTTTCCAGTGAGTTTTTATACATATTTTTACACTTATAAATATAAACATGTATTTTAATCAAACACCAGAGGAGCGAATTTGGTTATGTATATAAACTACGAGGATATGCCTTTTTTTAATGGGATTGCTATCAAAACTCTTACCGTGTTTGATTATGTGTAACCAGCTGCCCACTGAAGTATTTCCGAACCAATTCGACTTAAGGTCTTTCAAGAAAAGAGCGTACCAATTCTTAAAAGGCCGGCAACGCACTCGCGAGCCCTCTGGCATTGAGACTGTCCATGGGCGGCGGTATCACTTAACATCAGGTGAGCCTCCTGCCCGTTTGCCCCCCGGTCTATAAATTTTTTTTTTAAGAGAACATTAAAGATACACATTCTAAGTTAATAAGACTGAAGATACAAAATAATACACGTATCACCTCGACCTCCGTCGTTCCACAACTGAGCGTTTTTAAGGCAGTTTTTGTCGCGCACCACCACTCTCTGGAACCAGCTCACCACTGTAGTATTTCCAAACCAATTAGGGCCCTTCAAGAAAAGATATTACCAATGCTTAAAAGGCCGGCAATGAGCCTTCTGGCAATGTGGGTGTCCATGGGCGGCGAGATCACTTAACATCAGGTGAGCCGCTTGCCCGTTTTCCTCCTGTCAAAAAAACTCCGATAGCTAAGATTCAGAGATTCAGAGCATTAAATTACATCATTATCTATATTTTTTAATTGCATGATAGTCCGTTTGGTGGCGCCAAATTCGCAGCTTATGGCTATGTTCACATGTAACGCGCGTTAACGCGCGTCAACGCGCGATCAAATTTGAAGAGCGTTCAGATGATGAGCGCTAACGCGCGTTGCGAGAGTACTCGTCAGTCTAGTTCGGTAGAACGTAGAAAATGGACGTGGAAGAGGCTATTATTTTGTGGTTATATTATAAAGAAAAATATAGAAAAAGAAAACGTACACATTGGGTTTATCCAATTTTGAAAAAAAAATACAATTTATATTATATTTTTTATACAAATTTGCTATATTCCAACTTGCTGACCTTTTTTCTACTTCATCGATTAGTAAGTCGATGTCAATATCTTCAATTTCACTCATTTTAAAAGCGAGAACAAAATATAATTACGAAAATTAATAAAATTACATGCGATCGCGATGAAAGCGCGCGCTCATCCGAACAGCAAACGGACATTACATTAATATCAAAGCGCGCGTCAACGCGCGATCACCTGCGTCTAGAGACTTTTTCTCTGAGCGCCGCGTTGACGCGCGTTAACGCGCGTACATGTGAACAGTTGTATGAAAAATACCATAATCTCTAGTCGCGCGATTTGAAAACGCGCGTCAAGTTTTTGCCATCTGAACATAGCCTAATCTCGCTCAAGTCACCGATTTCCATCGCTCATTAGTACGGGAGCTAGCAACGTTTGAAAAGAAAGAATTTTAGGTCAGCTGATTTTGTGATATATCTTCCTTCTTGCATTTTCGGTTAGAGTCTGGGCTGTAGCGGTTGCGTTTATTAGTGCGCATCCTACCTGTCCAAGTAATAATCCTGGATTTTAAAAGCATTTTAAGAAGCGTAATTTTTAATTTTTCGTTTTTAAATAAGTCTACCTGACATACTTTTTTTATTGCCAGACATTTTTGACAATGCTAACTATGTGCCAGACGCGATTTTAAGTTTTTTTTTATAAAAATTTCAAAGTATTTTATGGTAGGGGAGCCCAAGAGGGGATTTCGGGATTTACTAAAGCGCGGCAGATTAATATATAGGGGGATACCTTGTACCCGGTTAAGTACCTCCACAAAACATGAGGCCCATATATAAGGCCGCCCGTGAAGGAGACAGGATCAGATTAGTAAAAAAAAATTGACCATAAAAAATTCTCGAGCGCGTCAGATTAAGGTAGGGTGAGTTCATTACATCCTAAAAAGTGTATATTCCACTAATCTGACAATTTGAGAGTAACGTAAAAAAAGGGGAGGGCTACAAAGTTGTAAAAAAAAACGTCATCTCGACATTCTCGAGCGTAGCTAAATTTTTTTTTATTTTGAAGGAAATAATTCAAGAATAATGAAAAATATATAATCTGACGATTTCCGCAAGCCGAAATAACAAAAATTCGTCGATAAAGTTAAATGCGTGCAGCTGCGTGATGCCTACATTTCCTTAAACCGATCGGAATCTACTAAACGGCGTTCTAAATATTTCCCTCAAAATTACATTTCCTGTGAATTTGAACCGATTCCAACCGATAGATTTTGAGAAATTTTGAAAAATCTCAAAAAAATAAGATTTGTTTTTTTTTGAATGTGATTTCTTTATCGATCAACTTCAAAAACTAATCCGCCTTTGAGCTTGAAAAACCACGTCGATCGCCACCAAGCTGGTCAAAAGCGGTTGATTCGTCCGAGAGATATCGTGAACGAAAGAAACCCGAAAAAGTGATTTTTCGGGATTACTCCGACATTTGTGGTTCGGTCAATCAAAATTACTTATGAGCATGATAAAACTGCGACGAATGCCGCCAACCGCGTGAAAATTGCTTGATCCATTCAAAAGTTATTGCGGTTTGAAAATTCCAAAAATAGTGATCTATGAAACTTCTATCAGACTTTAGAGCTGGGAGAGCTCAAATGCATAGAAATATTATTTCTTTGAACTCAGCGAGCTCAAAATATCAATTTTAAGCGCCCAGGAATGGAATTAGCGGGAAGTTGCAGGGATGGCCCTTTAGGTGAACCGTTTTTCTAACTTTTTTGTCAGATCAGGCGAATCCCTCTAGATAATCGTCAGATTATGAGACAGTACGTTTAGAACATAAAGATGAACCATAAATATCTTAATCTGACGCGCTTGAGTATTTCAAAATTGCGATTTTTTTTTTGCAAATTATGAAAATAGCCGCGGGTTTGCGTCCCATCGAAATCGTCAGATTAGTGAATGAGAGCTTTTTTTTGGTGCACTTAACACTCCCTTAGAAAATCTGACGCGCTCGATAATTTTTTTTTTTCATTTTCAACCCTTAAATACAACCACCCGCATCATGCAAACGATCAGATTAACATACGTACATTATTAAAAATACGTAGGGCATTGATGCTATCAATATCTGACGCGCTCGAGGATGTCCATGCAGTTTTTTTACATATTTAACAATCTATAGCCGCTTCCCCCACCGATGAAAAGGTATATATCATCTAACATTTTTTTCTTCTTATCATCTAAGCTTTGCATCCCAATAGGACTCTACGACGCTCGAGTAAATCCCCATTTAGCATCGTGGGCTCCCCTACCATTATAATGTCTGTAATTTTAATATTATGTTATTTAAATATAAGAAAAACTAAAAATTAATTTGCCAGACATTAATTCGATTGCTAAGCCTTGAATTAAAATGAAAAAGGCATGAAAAGTATTGCAGTATGATGATATATATATAAGATATGATAAATTCTTTCTCGAAAACGTTGCTACCTCCCGTACTACATGTTTGATAAGCTTGTAGCATATACATGTAATGTATTTTTTATCGACATCGATATCATTGTATCGTCACTCGCACGTACGTACCTACAGAAAACTGGTCTTGCATGATTCGCGCGAATGTGTGCGTGTACGCAGGTAACCGGTGGTACGTGGCACACTGATCATCAAATACAAAGCCACCTTTGTATTTGATGCACATATGTTTACTTCGTTATATTATATAATTGTAATAAAACATTAAATATAATTAATTTACTTGAAAAATGGTGGTCAATTTATTTACCCCATAAGCTTTTCTGAATACAAATGCTTGATTTTGACAAATAGGAGATATACTTCGTGTTAAGTCGTTTCTGAATCTCACCCTGTCACTAAGTATTGGGAGGCTTTATTTGACCTAAACCCGCGCCAAGAATAAAACAATATCAAATCGTAACTTGTCAACTTGATGCGACAGTCCCTTACTGACTATTTTTGCTGATTTCGAGTGATTTATGTAATGGCCGTGGATTTAGGTCAGATGACGTCACACTATTGCTTAGTTAAATTTAATTCAGGTTATTTATGACGTTTATGACATTACATTTATATATTTCAGAATCATTCCAAATTACGTATACACATCCGTGCGGTTCACTCGTCGGTAGCGGCCTATAAATGTACGAGTTGTGGAGCAAAATTCGCGTGGCACTCGTGTTTGTCGAGACATATGCGGAGGCTGCATAAGAAACATGTCTAGATGAAATTTAGTATATGGTATCAAAGTTCAACAATCTTTTGATGGTCTAACCCACTTTATATTATTTTCGAGACCTGTCACACGTTGTTAATAAAAGAAACGCTTTGCAAGTATACAACAAACTTTTATTGCAGATATAATTGAAGTCTATAGGGTCTAAAGGCCAATTCTATTTATTTTTTATTTAGATATAACAAAAAATTGAATAAATTAAACAATTCAATGAAATAATTATTTCTTTGTACTTTAATTAACTTTCACGTCTTAAATTACAACGTTGTTAAAGTTGTAAAAAAAAATAGAGCCTCTGGAAAGTAAAAACTGCAAAATAAACATTGGCAATTTTTTACGTTTTTTGTAACGTAACGTACGTGAACGTATGAGTAATATTGCATGTGCACTAAGTACCTTAGTGAAAGATAATAAAAAAGTTCACAGCTATTAATTAAATGTTCATGGAATGCTTTATTTTCTGTGGGTGTGGGTAGCATTTGCTAAATTAAATCTATAAATATTTCTTAGCAATATTTTATTTAACATAAGAGTTGCACAGAAAAATTAAAATAATACGTATAACAGTCACTGATATACAAATAAAACCAAAATAAAATGGTATTGTCTTTGATTAACATAACTTTTATTCATTTAATAAAACACTATTTTGACCGGATTGAAGTTATGTTGTCACCGTGACCACGCACGCTGTAAAGCACGCGAAACGTCGGATAAATTTAAAATTATGTTAAATAGTTGTAAATTTATAATAATACATAACTTCAATCCGGTCAAAATAGTGTTTTATTAAACAAAATAAAATGTTCAAAAAAACGTAGAAGTCCATTTAAAAAAGATAAATAGGTAAAAGTAATTGTTCCAAATATGGAACGTCATGCGTTCTAGTTCTATTAGTTAGACGTTCCATATTTGGTACAACATGCGATTCTTCTACATTATATATAGCTACATAAAGGTGATCATCAAAACCTATCTCCTATACCCGTCAATGGTGGGCCAAAACTGGAAGATGTGGTCTGTGTGGGCCTGAGATTAAAAATAAAAGAAACAATGTGAAACTATGCATAAGTATTAAATTAAATAAAATTATGTGTGAAAGTTTTTAAAACAGTTGCGATCTTTGTTGAAACAAAGATAACAACCACACTTTTCGCACATCACTTGGGATTTCTGCTTGCATCCTTCCATTTTGGTGATCAGTTTTCAAATTGGGCCAGTGGTTAAACCCGTCTCCAGCTATTTCAATTGACGGCAGTTCTATTCGTCGTCGTGATCGCCCCTTTTTAATTGCCTCAACATCTTCATTCAGTGGTCGTCCTCGTTTGCGTGTAGTGGGAGTGTATACTTTAGAGTCTCGATGCATCAATACGTCTGCTATAACTAATTTGAAGTCAAGCAATGGAATGTAAATATCTTCACCTTTCTGTTTCATGACTCTCCTCCATAGTAGCCAACTATTTATACAACAGAGATCAATGAAATGGAAGAACAGGCGGTGGTACCATTTATTACTGCGGATTTTGATCCTATAGAAACCTAACATTGCGTCTAGTAAATCGACACCGCCCATGTATTTATTATAAATAAGTACTGCTTTTGGGCAAGGAACATCTAGGAGAAACATGTACAAAATGATCCCTCTAAGGGAAAATGCAAATAAAAGCGAAAATATTATAGTCATCGAAATTGTTAAATTAAATTTGGATTGTTTACATAAGTGCGGTAATATTGGCTTACTTGTTTTTGTAGAAATATATGTCTTTTTGGAATTATTACATATTTCTTGAAAGCTTACTAAAGGATCATTTTGAACACATAGGTGTCTAAAATGATCCCAGGGGTAAGGACAAAATGATCCCCCGGGAATTTAGGCACCAATTAAAAGATTTCCGTAATTTTATTGTAATTATATATTAAAAAAAGACATCTGCTTATAATGATTAGGAGCCTAAGTCTTCAATTTTAAGTTTGAGATCAAAATGTTACAAGTATGTTCTAATGTTACAGTCTTAAGTATTAATTATAACAAATTAACCATCTTCTAAAGTTATTCTTATTAAATATAAATGCTTTATGAATCACATCTAGTAATCACATCATATTTGGTACTTCTCGTAGCTGAAATTTTTAATAAAATTATGAAAAGTGTTAGTTCAAAACTCTAATTGCTTTTTTGCCATATCATACTTAACGGTTACGCAAATATCACATGTAAAGTTGTCAAAATCGTCACTGTCTATTCCTGCACATTCTTCATGTCCCCAGTTCAAACAGCTGACGCAACGTACCCATCCTTCTCCCAAGACATCATTCGAATACGGCTGTGTACAGAACATACACTCTGTATCATCTTCATCTCCGGAAGATTCTGACTCATGCCTTTTTTATTTTTTTTTCCTTACAACTTTTTGTTTTTTTTTCTTTCCATTATCAGTAACTTGTTTTTTATTTTTTCTTGTCTGTCCTGCATTTTTTCCCTTTTTACTTGTTTTTCTTTGGATTTCTTCGCTTTATTGGCTTTTTTTTCCTTACGGGCTTTTTGTTTTTCTTCCATTACTCTTTTTTTTTCCATTTCCTCTTCTAAATAGGTTTTGTAGGGTGTACTAGTAAGTATCGACGTGTCAACTTTTTTTCTAATAATTTTACTCCTTTTTCCTTCTATCTTTGGAAACGGTAGAATGTCACGGGGTGCGAAACATCCAAATGATGTCGAAGGCAAATCGACAGAAGCAACTGGTAATGGTGTCATGGCGGAAATCGAAGATTCACACGATGAAAGTTGTCCTGTAGCGTTCGACTCCTTTGGAGAGCACGTTAATGGTGGCATGATGGGAAGCAAAGCAGTAGAATCTTCAGTCTGCCTAGAAGGAGATTCGTACGATGAAGCTTGTACTGTAGGTCTTGACTCCTTTAGAGGGCACGGTGCTGGTGGCTTGTCAGGAAGCGAAGCAGTAGAATTTTCAGTCTGCCTAGGAGGAGATTCGCACAATGAAGATTGTACTGTTGTATTTGATTCCACTGGAGGGCATGGTAATGGTGGCATGACGGAAAGCACAGCAGAAGAATCTTCAGTCTGCCTAGAAGGAGATTCGCAGGATGAAGGTTTTATAGTAGCATTTGACTCCTTTGGTGAGCACGTTGTTGATGGCTGGACGGGAAGCGAAGCAGTAGAATTTTCAGTCTGCCTAGGTGGAGGTTCGTACGATGAAGGTTGTACTGTAGGTCTTGACTCCTTTGGAGGGCACGGTGCTGGTGGCTTGACAGGAAGCGAAGCAGTAGAATTTTCAGTCTGCCTAGGAGGAGATTCGCACAATGAAGATTGTACTGTTGTATTTAATTCCACTGGAGGGCATGGTAATGGTGGCATGACGGATGCACAGCAGAAGAATCTTCAGTCTGCCTAGAAGGAGATTCGCAGGATGAAGGTTTTATAGTAGCATTTGACTCCTTTGGTGAGCACGTTGTTGATGGCTGGACGGGAAGCGAAGCAGTAGAATTTTCAGTCTGCCTAGGTGGAGGTTCGTACGATGAAGGTTGTACTGTAGGTCTTGACTCCTTTGGAGGGCACAGTGCTGGTGGCTTGACAGAAAGCGAAGCAGTAGAATTTTCAGTCTGCCTAGGAGGAGATTCGCACAATGAAGATTGTACTGTTGCATTTGACTCCAATGGAGGGCATGGTAATGGTGGCATGACGGAAAGCACAGCAGAAGAATCTTCAGTCTGCCTAGGAGAAGATTCGTTTGTAAGGCATGGCGTTGCTGGCTCATTTCTAGGTATAGCATAAGCCTCATCCGTTTCCATTGGAATCAACACTTGTGAAACATCACTAGTTTGCATAGCTTCAGTGGATGTAGACAATGGTAAGACAGAAACCGAATGAGACGAGTCACCCGAATCGGCAATATCTGTATCCGCTTCCACTTCAGTCGTCTCTGCAGCTACGTAGTCCACATCGCTGAAAACATCTTGGTTTATCGGTTGTATTCCGCATTTTAAAAATCCGCTAACAATGTTTGATGGTGTTGCTGCCTTTAGGTAAGCCTCTCCAAAAATTTTTGCTACTTGGAAAACAGTCACTACTCTTCCAGGATTATTGTTCATCCATTTTTCTAGTGCTTGGTTATAATAAATGCTCAGAGGATACATGACCGCAACGTCCAATGGCTGGAGTTTATGGGTGCAATGCGGTGGCAGGCATATAATAAGCACATGTTTTTCTCGCGCCTTTAGCACCACATTCAAATTTTTTGTATGCGAGAGGTGGCCATCCAAAATCAACATTGCTGGATCGTCTTTTGAAGGCTTCACGTGAGTTAAAAAATGATCAAACCATTGCTCAAAGACACCCAATTTCATCCAGCCAGTCGTATTACATGCATAAGCGGAACCGGGAGGTGCACCATCCATCAACTCCATCTTCATTCGCACTTTGCGAAATATAAACATCGGTGGTATAAAGTTTCCAGTAGCAGAGCCGCAAACTACTGCTGTTGTGGTGTCACCTCTTTCAGCTGAAGTGACTCTAGCCACTTGTTTACGACCAGTTTGAGCAAACACCTTTGTATTTTTGGTCGGGACAGTGCATAAACTGGTTTCATCGACATTAAATATTCTATACGGTGGAAAATAATGTTTCGCTTGTGTGTCTTTCAAAATCGAAAAAATTTATCAACAACAGGTTTGTTGAACGCACGTGCTCGAGCGGCTGATGTTGATTCCGGAGCACGAAGAGTTATATCTGGATGCCGTTTTCGGAATCCTTTTAGCCACTCAATACCAGCTTTTTCCCTTTTGGATGAAAACATACCATACATTCTTATCTCCATGTCTTTTATATGTTTGACAAGTTCTGCTTCTTGTTCGGTGGTAAAAACAGTTTGTTTACTACCCAGAACCTTAACCGCACCCATCGCAAGCTTATTTTTTCCTTTGGTTCTTCGTTTCAACGCCATTAGTGGCACTGAAAACTGTCTACTAGCTGTTTTGAAAGCCATTCCATCTTTTACAGCATCTAGTGCCGATTGCATCGATGTCTCACTCCAGTTTTGTCGAGTAGTCTTTCTAATGTAGTTGCGCGGCATGGCCTGTAAAAAATAAGCAATGAAAATTTGAATATGGGTAAAATGATCCCGGGATCATTTTACCCATATTCAAATTTTCATCAATCAACTCCATCTTCATTCGCACTCTGCGAAATATAAACATCGGTGGTATAAAGTTTCCAGTAGCAGAGCCGCAAACTACTGCTGTTGTGGTGTCACCTCTTTCAGCTGAAGTGACTCTAGCCACTTGTTTACGACCAGTTTGAGCAAACACCTTTGTATTTTTGGTCGGGACAGTGCATAAACTGGTTTCATCGACATTAAATATTCTATACGGTGGAAAATAATGTTTCGCTTGTGTGTCTTTCAAAATCGAAAAAATTTATCAACAACAGGTTTGTTGAACGCACGTGCTCGAGCGGCTGATGTTGATTCCGGAGCACGAAGAGTTATATCTGGATGCCGTTTTCGGAATCCTTTTAGCCACTCAATACCAGCTTTTTCCCTTTTGGATGAAAATGGATGTTTTATCTTGTTTTTCTCAGCTAATTGATAAGCTAGAGAAAGAATTTCTGTTTTTGTCAGTCCATACATTCTTATCTCCATGTCTTTTATATGTTTGACAAGTTCTGCTTCTTGTTCGGTGGTAAAAACAGTTTGTTTACTACCCAGAACCTTAACCGCACCCATCGCAAGCTTATTTTTTCCTTTGGTTCTTCGTTTCAACGCCATTAGTGGCACTGAAAACTGTCTACTAGCTGTTTTGAAAGCCATTCCATCTTTTACAGCATCTAGTGCCGATTGCATCGATGTCTCACTCCAGTTTTGTCGAGTAGTCTTTCTAATGTAGTTGCGCGGCATGGCCTGTAAAAAATAAGCAATGAACATCGGTGGTATAAAGTTTCCAGTAGCAGAGCCGCAAACTACTGCTGTTGTGGTGTCACCTCTTTCAGCTGAAGTGACTCTAGCCACTTGTTTACGACCAGTTTGAGCAAACACCTTTGTATTTTTGGTCGGGACAGTGCATAAACTGGTTTCATCGACATTAAATATTCTATACGGTGGAAAAGAATGTTTCGCTTGTGTGTCTTTCAAAATCGAAAAAAATTTATCAACAACAGGTTTGTTGAACGCACGTGCTCGAGCGGCTGATGTTGATTCCGGAGCACGAAGAGTTATATCTGGATGCCGTTTTCGGAATCCTTTTAGCCACTCAATACCAGCTTTTTCCCTTTTGGATGAAAATGGATGTTTTATCTTGTTTTTCTCAGCTAATGTATAAGCTAGAGAAAGAATTTCTGTTTTTGTCAGTCCATACATTCTTATCTCCATGTCTTTTATATGTTTGACAAGTTCTGCTTCTTGTTCGGTGGTAAAAACAGTTTGTTTACTACCCAGAACCTTAACCGCACCCATCGCAAGCTTATTTTTTCCTTTGGTTCTTCGTTTCAACGCCATTAGTGGCACTGAAAACTGTCTACTAGCTGTTTTGAAAGCCATTCCATCTTTTACAGCATCTAGTGCCGATTGCATCGATGTCTCACTCCAGTTTTGTCGAGTAGTCTTTCTAATGTAGTTGCGCGGCATGGCCTGTAAAAAATATTCAAATTTCATCAATCAACTCCATCTTCATTCGCACTCTGCGAAATATAAACATCGGTGGTATAAAGTTTCCAGTAGCAGAGCCGCAAACTACTGCTGTTGTGGTGTCACCTCTTTCAGCTGAAGTGACTCTAGCCACTTGTTTACGACCAGTTTGAGCAAACACCTTTGTATTTTTGGTCGGGACAGTGCATAAACTGGTTTCATCGACATTAAATATTCTATACGGTGGAAAAGAATGTTTCGCTTGTGTGTCTTTCAAAATCGAAAAAAATTTATCAACAACAGGTTTGTTGAACGCACGTGCTCGAGCGGCTGATGTTGATTCCGGAGCACGAAGAGTTATATCTGGATGCCGTTTTCGGAATCCTTTTAGCCACTCAATACCAGCTTTTTCCCTTTTGGATGAAAACATACCATACATTCTTATCTCCATGTCTTTTATATGTTTGACAAGTTCTGCTTCTTGTTCGGTGGTAAAAACAGTTTGTTTACTACCCAGAACCTTAACCGCACCCATCGCAAGCTTATTTTTTCCTTTGGTTCTTCGTTTCAACGCCATTAGTGGCACTGAAAACTGTCTACTAGCTGTTTTGAAAGCCATTCCATCTTTTACAGCATCTAGTGCCGATTGCATCGATGTCTCACTCCAGTTTTGTCGAGTAGTCTTTCTAATGTAGTTGCGCGGCATGGCCTGTAAAAAATAAGCAATGAAAATTTGAATATGGGTAAAATGATCCAGGGATCATTTTGGACTCTATGCGGGGGATCGTTTCACCTCAAATGCAGTGTTTTCATACATCACTCAAAACATAACCTAAAAATTTACCATGCGTCCAACGAAATATATTCAAAATGACAGTAAATGTTCACTTAAACTGTAGATTAAACAACTATTGAGAAAAAAATAACACATAGGAAGAAACCGTACATTGATTTTAGACTTACTTTAGATGAAAACCACCACTTTTAATTAAATTGTTCTGCATCGATGCACAACAGTCACACCGCCATGATACTTCAACAGACGACTGAGGGGATCGCGGATGACGTGTTTTCCAATGAATCAAGTAGATGGCGTTAGTAGTTTTCTGAGAATGGCGGGGAATCATTTTACCTCCAGGGATCATTTTGTACACCTTTCCCTCTACACTTATGTGTTTTGGAATATCTTTTCCCTACTCCCATTGGTTCCTTGCCTTCATAGGAGGAACACAAACTGACTGCTTTATTGTCGACCCAATTGGTAATAGATAATCGAACGTCATCAACAGCGACACTTTTTTCGGAGCAATAGCCTCGTCCTTTTTTTTCCAAAGCTTTTTGTATATTAAAGTCCATGCATACTAACACTAATTTTGAATCCCTCTACGATCGCATCAGTTTCCATTTGAGTTGAAGAGCCAAACCAATTTTTATAACATTTGTGAGCAGGAACTTCCGGTTTCCGCTTTGCAGCTACAGCACAAATGCAACAATAAGAGTTCCTGACCCCAATGAATAATATTTTTTTAGTCCTTAACCCTATGATGCAACCAACACTCGACAAGGAGTTGAAATTTGTCCCGTAACTTCGTTTACTTCCCAAAATCCGTCTGTTATTATGGTTATACGGTATTCCATCCGTGACGATATCCCCTTGATCTATCGCCAATTGTTTTTCTTCTTTGCCTGCTTCAAGCATGTGTTGCAGATCGACATCTCTGTGTATATCACCTAACTTACTACATATTTTCATATAATAACGCTCAGACATATTTGGCATATTTAAACAAGCACATATTTCGTCCAATTTGGCATATCCACTCCCAGTTTGGAAAACACCTTCTACTGCACTGGCATTTATAATATTTTTTGTTACTTTCTTGAGAATAACTTATCTTTTCTATCTTACACATTTTACATACAAAATGAAAACTTGACATGAACCCCACCCTTTTTCTTTTATAAAATCCATAGAGGTGAAATTACAGTCAAATGGATGATGCGACATCGTTGTAAGCTGACTGAAAAGATAAGCGATGTCGACAACGCGATTCCCCTCTAATAATGGTGTAACATTGATATTTTCTTGTTCTTCTGTAATAATTAGTTCGTCGTCTGATAAAGATGGTGTGCTCAAGTTGGTCGAATAATTAATTTCTTGTTCTGCTAGTTCTTCATCGTTATTTCATTGAAGACGTTGCCTACAAAACATACACATTTTTAGATCTCCATCATGAAAAAAAAAACAATACATGTCTATTTTTATATCACAGTAGTGAAGAAATCACTCACCATGGTAGACTGTGATCAATATTTTTATAGTATTGGTCATATGGCACGATCTCATATTCATCATCAACATTGTTCTGTGCTTTATTATATGTAAGAGGAACATCTTGAAGTGGTACCCTATCGTGGGTAAGCCTAAAACAAATAAATATATCTATTTATTCTTAATATATGAAGTTATGTATTTACAATTATTTTAAATTTAACTGACGTTTCGCGTGCTTTACAGCGTGCGTGGGTGCGTGAGTCACCGTGATGTGGGTTCTGGAGGTTTTCCTAGCATGGAAAAGTCGTATACTCTTGAATTTCTTTTGACTAGTCTCCAGCACATTTATAGAAAATAATCTTTCTTGGGCCACTCTGTTCCACAGCCATTCAGAGGGAATGCAAGGGATTCCGATTGCTTCAAACAAACCTTTCACATCATTGCAATAACAAAGTCCGTCTTCTTTTGTAAAGAATCCAGAAAATGTTTTATGACGTGTTCTTTGGTCACTTATTTTAACATCGCTTTTGAGCAAATTCCATTGTTTTAGTCGTGAAGCTAATATTTCTGCTTTAAGTTTAGGTAGATTTAAATCTCTTACTAAGTCATCAAACTCTTCTGAATTAATTAGATGTGGTTCAACAGATGGTGATGTGATAACGAACTCGCTGTCTCCGCTATTACTACATATTTGTGATAGCGGTAACTGCTCTTCTGCCTTCCGCTTTGGGTTCGAAGGCACAGGGAAGTTTTCACTGTGGGGTACTGGAGCAGACGTTGATGGTAGGTTTGGGTATTCAATCTTTTTGGCATTTTTACCAGCGCGACGCTTACTTGGATTTACTACACAAAAATAACAATCATGGATATGGTCAGTTGGTTCCCTCCATATTCGTGGTACAGCAAACTTCATACTTTTTTTTCTCCACGGTACCAGGCTGAAAAAAATTGACATTATTTAATAACGAATGACACATTTAATGTGTTAGTCTAGTCGACAAGTTGAAAATGGAACAAAATAGAGATACTGCTCTTAAAATTATGTGCGATAGCTCATTCGAACCGGAATGACGCCTAGAAAAATGTGCTAAAAGCGTGTATTAGCACATAAAAAATTGCAAAAGTTATAGACCATTAAAGATGAAAAAAAATGGAATTTAGTTTTTTGCCAATATTTAATAAACTATTAATATTTAAGAAATTTCAAATAAAGATTCTGAAAGAGGAGGAAATTTCCAATAAAAAACTCTCAGCTCCCGGAACTCTATCTCCATTATTTATAACTTTAATTTAACGCTGAAAATAGGTCTGTGCGTGACATTTTTAGGATTCGCGCGTGGCGTCAAAAGCGACTACGGCACATTAATTAATTTATTTAAGGTATTGAATATTTTTTTTAAATTTGAAAAAATTATGGTGTGTTCTGAACACTATAATTAATTTATTCCCGTTGGAAATTTTACTTAAAGTTAATTTTTCAACAAGTTAAATAATTGTTAACTAACGAAATTTTCTCGAACGACCGTCTTAATTGTAAGTGAAAAAAATGTTTTAATAATGGTCGTAAAAATATTTCGCTTCGTAGAGCCTTTCTTACATACATACTTAACAAGATCGTGCCATAAAAGTTAAAGAAATATTTATACTTTGTTTATAACAATTTTTTTACTTAAACAAAAACTTAAAAATCCAAGTAATGTTGTTAAAAAAATTTTTTTTTTTTTTCTAAATCATCAAATTATCGTTTTTATATTAATACAAGATATTTATTGATTTGCAAAAAAAAATTTCCCGCCATTTGTTAATAATTTTTTTTAAACAAATTGATTAAATCAATTGTTTTAAAAAAAAAATTTCACAACTTTATTACATTACAAATATTATGATTGTTTAAAAAAAAAATTTCCTTAATAACATATTTTAATTGTTTATAATCGTTTTTTTATATTTCTTTTGTTTAAATAATTAGTTAAGAAATTTTTTTTTTTTAAAAATCATAATTCACAATCCTCTATAAAGTAACAGAAAAAAATTTTTTTTAATCAACAATTCTATTGTTTATTAACTTACCAATTTGTTATAAACAAATGTTCAACTTTTTATATTTTTTTCTAAAACTTCTAAAATTAACAAAAACAAACATATATAACAAAGTCTATAAAAAAAAAAAAAAATTTTTTTAATAAAAGTAATATTCATGATAATCAAAAAATTAAAAAAATGTTTCCATTGCTTGGAACCCAAATTAAATGATTCAATTTTCCCAATCGACATTTTATACTTTTTTAATCGTTAAACCTCGTCGCCAAATGATACGTCAATAAAAGGCGGGCTCGGAAGACAGACTGATTTATTAATGTTCGTAATAGCAGGTAGGCGATAGATGCTACAATAATAATCATTGTATGACACGTTCACTGTCCACTAAGCCACATATGGTTCAGGAAACGTGCGTTTGAAAAGCAATAATACGCTCCTGAGCCATATGTGCGTCAGGAGACCCTTTTTTCGCTCATTGTAATAGAGCAGGGCTTTCGGCTTTAATTTTGGCCGATATCCCGAAGACATTTGCATACCAGCGTCATGGCATGTAGAAATTATTGCAACGTCGCGTTTTTCTTTTCATTTCATCACTGTTATGTGGTTCTTCTGACGAGCAATCACCTTTTTTTAGGGCCCATTTTTTCATAGCTGGAATATCTTCTATTAGTTTGGATTTTAATTATTTAATGGTGCTGGAAACAACAACTTTTTTCACAATTGAGGGGTTATTTGGAAAAACAGCCAATGTCTATTTAGCTCAGTTTTACAGGAGACATAAAATAAGGTTTACATTATACATATATGTAATCAAATAATTTGTAGTATACTTACTGATTTATTGTTAATACTATGACATGCAATGGTTTGTGCTAAGTTTTAATGCCAAAAGTTTTCCTGAAGTACAGTAAAATTGAAATTTATGTTTGACATTGGTTAGTTTTCAAATAAAATCAGACAAAAATTTTGATACAAAGGCTTTTATTTTCTTAAAGTAGACAATGCTTATACAAAGTAAAAATTACTCATCACATCCTTCACTATTATCGTCATCCTCTATTTCTACATTGTCATCATCATTAATATGACCATCAGAGACTGGTGCATCTGGTGCAAATTGCAGGAAGAAATCTCTGTTTTCTTGTTTTGTGACAAACTTACTCAAAAGTATTAAATTTGATATCTTCCCATTCGACATCTTCAGTGGTTCTAAGTATAATGGATCAAGTATCAACTCTTCAGGTAGGCGCCGTTTGTTGCGAATTACACAGCGCGTAGAAGTTCCTGTAAAGTTTTCTTTTACCTTGATGTGTTCATGATTATCAGATGTTGTTATAACACGCAATTTGCGGAGGTGAAGTGCTGGTCTTAGAGTCCTTAGAAAGAATGGTGAAACCGCTGCCTTTAAATTAAAAAATCAATACATGAACCAAGATATATTGAAAGTAAACCATCACGTGGTTTTTATTTTGCCCACTGCATCCATCACTTAGAAGCGCAAGGTCACACTGTATTTCTCTGTTGTTTATATAGTGGAGAATCAAAGAAGTTACATCAGATGTTTAATGTAGGAGCAAGTGAGGGCACTACATAGGGTAAGGTCTCGTGCACCACACACCCTCACGGGGGTGTGTCTTTCTAGAAGGACAAACAGAGTTTAGATAGCATAAATTATTATCATATAAGATGTCTGAGGTTCTAGTCCCATAATGATCAGACTTAAAACTTCCCCACATAGAATGTTGTTTGAAATCTCCCATGTCTAAAATAGGTCGCGGGAGTGAAGATAGAATGCTACGAATATCGTTAGACTTCAGTGGAAGTGTGAGGTATATATGTTATCGTAAAATTGTAAAACCGTTAGGTTATAAGATATTTCGCGAGATTGTGAATCTCAACGTACTGCTTACAATTTAACGTATTATATGAAGTGAAACCGTCAAATTACAATCTTAAAATTGTCAACCGTCCGAAGGCTGTCCCTGATTTGTCGGCTTTTTATAGTAAACCGTTCTGTGTCAAAAAAGGTAGTAATGAAACACGGGTATCAGTCAAATAAAATGAAAGCACTTCCAGAATTATGACCTCAAGTATTTATTCATTACTTAATCAATAATTACATAAAAATATGAAAGTAAATAGCACCAATAAAAATGTTCATTTATTGATGCACGTCAACGAGCTGTGGCACCTGGAGTTACAAAGAACAGAACCTGGAGTTTCTTCGAAATGCATTGTCCATTTTTATTTTTTTTGCAATTACATTGTTTTATTCCTTGCCCGCCAAATGATGAAGACATTGAAGCGACAGTTCTCAACGGTAATGTAACCTGAAATAAAATTGAGGTGAATCTCAAATTTCCAAGCCAGCAAATATAAAATATTTTGCTAAAATGTATTTTAAGGTAACATTAAAATGCGGCGGCTGCACCCATGATGATATGGAAAACTGTTTTCACTGGAACTCCATCATAATGGGTACAATATTTTTGAACGATTTACCTCTTTTACAATCGTTGCCATAATTTATTACCTCAGATACATAATAAGGGTCCCCTTTAATGGTCATTCGATTATTTTTATCCTTTTTTAAAAATAATCTTTTAGATGCATTAAATTGTTGAAGTTCCAAGATCCAGGTAAGCTCGTTTTTAACGCTTGATTTTCTATCATGAATGCCCCATTCTCCGGTGCATCAATTCATTATTCATAGTTAAAACGTTGGCATTTTCTAATAATAATTTGAGCTTGATAACATATACACGTCCAAATACTTGACCTTTCAAAATTTTGTTTCTGAAAATAATTTTTACACTTGACTCCTCGAAAATGATCTTACATCCTTTTTTTCTAATTTTCGAACTGATAATAGATTAAACGAAAGATTATTACATACCAAAACATCGATAATCCGTATGGTGTCACCAAAGTCAGATAAGCACGAAATAGTATCCTTGTTTACAGCTTTTATAGTTTCCCCTGCCTTGGCTACACTAATTTTCATGTCCAAATCAATTAAGTTAGTGACAAATTTTTTAAAACAATTTTTCATTAACTTGGGGCAATATTTTTTCGTATGACCCTGAGCCTTGCAATAATAACATATGAAAACGTTTTTTGATTTTTAAGAATGGATTACCTTGGTTTCTATTAGAAGAAAATGCGTTGTGAGGCTGAGACCCTTCCTTTTTCAATATTCTCTCTTCTTCAGCTAAAAGAGTATTTCTTACGTAATCCAAAGTTATCTCAGTCTGCTTACTGCCACATAAAATATCAAGAGCGGAAACCACTGAATCAAATTCGGGTGGCATGGCGCCCAATAACTGATGTATGACATCTTCATTTTCTAACTTACCACCAGCCATCCTTAGTTCAGCTGCCCTAGTCTCGAATTCTTGAAGAAATTCCTGAAGAGGTTTCTCGAGCTTATATTCCATTTTTCTCTATGATTTCTGTGCCATCACAACACTTTTCATTCCGGTTTTCTCGTAAGTTTTAGACAGAGTGTCCACGATTTCTTTTGCTGAAGTTTTATCTTTTATTAAAATCAGGATGTTATCAGACATGCAACCAATCAAAATAGACCTTGCCTTAACATCAGCGGTTTTGAAAGTTTTTAACTCTTTGGCATCTGCAGGAGGGTTCTCTGTAATTACATAAAGTACTTCGTTCTGTTCCAACACCAATTTTATCCGAAAAAACCAATTTGCAAAATTTTGTCCATCAAATGGTTTAACACCAAACACACCGACCGGTAAAACATTTGAAGCTGGTGAAGTCATATTTAAAACCGACCGAAAACGAAAGCGAAATACAATAGTCCAAACCAAACTCGTGAACACGTGTGCTCTCTAACCACAACCACAATCACATCCCGAAACTTTCACAACGAAAGAATAAACATTTCACTGCTGGGCCCATAACCTTTTAAATTAGGGTTAAATAATTAAGCAGTGGTACAAAATAAAGAAAATGTTTATTATCAAATGTAATACACAAAGCACAAAGTTAGAGACACATTGCCGAGAGCACAAAATAACAGAACAGTACAACCTCGAACCTTCCCCTTATCAAGACAGTGTTGCCTTACAAAAAAAACAATCGATTATTGTAGAATTGAACACTAACAAGTTATACGTATACAATTGGCGGCTAAAGTAGACACTCTGGTCTGGCACTTTTGGTAAAACCAAATTTTTTTGACAGTCTAAAATTATTCCGTGGTCATCTTGTGATTTCTGACTTGTGTAGAAGCATTTGGCCTTTAGCTTGTGAATACGAAGCTGAGCTATTTGCAGCTGTTTATTTGATGTGTCGCGTTCTGCTTTAATAACTTCTTTTAATTGAATGCATTTAGAACATGCGTCTGTAGAGGGAGATGTAAAACTCAAATTAAATTGCTTGTTAAAAATACGCCGGGAAAATTCATAATTCACCGGCATATTCTGACCCTCATCGTTGTAAAACTTATGTATTTTTTTTATATTCAGATCGCTGCTTAGATATTGCACAGTAGATCTACCTCTTACATAATGTTATTACAAAGATTCAAGTTTCGGCATTACCATTGTGATTAAATGTTGTTTACAATTTCTTTGTATTATGTCCCTAGAGATTCCTAGGACTGTGGTCATTGCTTTTTGACACACCTTAATTAATTTGACGCGGCATCTTCCAAACAAATTTTCATGCTTTGGTAATTTAGTTATTTGGTTAATTTGTACAAACCACTTACTATTATTACTCCGGTTTCGTGGATGGTCCTGGTTAATTAGATTTAGATAGATTTAGATTGTGAAAGGTACTGAATTATAGAAATGATGCGATCCTTTATTTTTATTTCTGACAAATCATTGTATTTTTTGAGACAACCTGTAGTACAGGAAGGAATGTGCTGTAATCTTGGATAAGCTCTGCGTGCGCTTTTTGATCATACTCCTTACTAGCATTCTTGAGACGAGCTTTGGGTTTCAAGAATACTGTTATCCTATGTGACTGTGTAGGACTCTTAGAAGGGCTTGTTAAGTTATAGGGACTGGAATAAGTAATAGTTGGATCAAAAGGGCCGTTGAAGCAGAAGCAACAACGTCAGCATAAGATTTCGAAACTGGTGGATGGACTTTACTGGCTTCTGAATAAGATATAGAGTTTCTAGCCATTGTTTCATACATATAAAGAACCTGGGAGAACATCCCATCAAAGGTTAAAACTACGGTCTCAGTTGGAATGAACTTGGGCGTCTCGCCGTCATATACCTTTTGTTTAATCTCCGAACTTTCAAAATGCTTCCACAGTTCTGCGAAAGCTCAATATTTTTCATAAAATCTTTCTCGTCCCAGTCATATGGAACACCTCTCACTATTGTCATGCGGGTGATAGTGAAGCCGGAATAAATGCTTTTATTTCAAATTGTAAAGACAACCCGTTCCTTTCAATTTTTTTTATGCTTCCCTCTACAATGCTTTTTATAAAAATCTTTTTTTTTTAAGGAAAAATGCAAATTGTACTTTGTGAATAGATCCGGTTTGGTTTCGGTTGTAAGATTTTGAACATGGACAACATAAGGCGTAGGGACTGAGGCCTGGTAAAGCAACCTAGTAGCGCGAGGGTTACTTGTGATATTGTTAGAGTGAACAGCCTCATTATGGAGGATTTCAGTGCTTTTATCATCAGACTCGAGCACTTTAGGAATAACATTATCCTTTAAATGATAAGGGGAAAGTTGGCAATCTGATATATAACCCGTATGTCTGTGATTCCTTCTCTTCTTTTGGTTTCTAGCTGAGATTCTCTTTCTTTTAACCGATTTCGTGCTTTCCGAACAGTTCTATAATTGAACCTTCCGTTTCCATTCCCGACGCATCGATTGTGACTACATGAGACACCTGAAGGGATGTTCCTCCAGGGTCTTCGGGTTTCAACATGGACGTCAAGAGAAAAATCCTGTTTACATATAATTACGTACAATGAAATGACTTACCATGCGAAGAAAACAAACTAAAACTATAAATAATCAATATTAACTACTAATATATAGGGGAGGCTGGGGAGGGTTGATCCCACCTTTGTATTTTGGTCTCTAAATTTATTACTCTCTACATTATTGCTAAAATTTTTATATTTCTATGTTTCGAATATAAATATCTATCAACAATCCGAAAGAGGGCATGATTTGTTTACAATTTTAGTCATAATTTCATAAAACTTCATACCATGGACGTGTATCATGTGTCCCTTATATCAGGGACACTTGTTCCCAACCATAAGGGAGCTTTGATCCCGGGGATCAAATCTCCCATACATAGGGGACACATGAATCACGTGAGTTTACTTTATTTTCTTTTTGCTAGAAATCCAATTTTATAAAGGGAATTAATTACAAGGGCAGCTAAAATATAAATCACATAATTTTGAATCAGTTTTAATTTTCAAATTTTTACTTAAAAACAAATTACCAAAGGACTAGTATTAAACACAATTTGTTTATACTTAAATATTAAAAAACGTAACGTAAATAAATCAGTTAAACTTATGACTTCTATAAAATCTAGTTTTATCATGACTTAAGTAATGAGTTTTCAATATTTAAACAAATTTACCTAAGAAGATAACTGTTGGTAATTAAAAATTAACACAAACTTCAAAAACCTATAAAATATATAAGTAACCGGCTAGACCCGATTAATATAGTATAGTATATACTAGATTGGCCTAAAATAGGGTTTTGCCAGCAACGGTAACAAAAAATAAAATAAGTCTCTCACATTTTTACCTTAATTATTATAATCACATTATAATACTTGAAGCTTACTTAAGAAATCAGTCGTATAGTCTTGTGCTCTTTGATAATATTGTTACTTATAATGAATAATTATATACCTAACTTATTTTTCAATTTTAAACTTTCTGAGTGATTTTGGAAATTCAAAGGAACCAACGCGTCTAGAGGATGACTTAAATTGCGGAGTAGGAAGTTTTTTCACAACTTGGTACTTTCCAATTAAACTTGAGTCATTTTTTTCAGGCCATTTGAATTTCTTGTCGGTAATTTTTTTTGCAAACTTAATGTCCAAGCTAGCTAAATGCTCATGAACGACTTGACCGACGTAACGATGCACTAAGTTTTTCGCTGATGTTAAATTTACTACTACCCAATCTCCTACGTGAATATTTATATCATCCCCATCTTCAGATTCTTCGGAATCTGTGTCTAAATCCTCTTCTTCGCCCTCGTAAATAGAGTCTGGCGATGGAGGAATTTGCATTTCGTCTTCATCAGAACTCGTTTCCACAGCAGTACTTTGTTTTGCTTTCTTCTTTGGATTTCCTTTGTTTAGATTTCTTTTAGCTGCAGATTGTTTCCTTTTTCTTTCTTCGTTTTCTTTATAGTTCTCTTCTTCACTCTCTTTAATTGAATCTAGCGACGGTATTTGCGTGTCGTCTTCATCAGTAATTGTTTTTACAGTAGTTCTTTGTTTTGTTTTTTCTTTGGTTTTTCTTTGTTCAGGTTTCTTTTGACAGTAGCTGCAGATTTTTTCCTTTTTTTCTCTTCTTTTTCTCTAAAGTTTTTTTCTAGAGCCTCTTTTTCAGGTGTGTCTGTTAATATTTTAGTTGCACCCTTCTTTCCCTTTTTTACAGATTTTCTAGGCCCTGCTTTTGGATACGGTCTGATCATAACGGGACTGAAATACGTCGAATCAGTCTTTTTGCCTACAGGTGAAATCTTTGGAGAGGCCGTTGAATCATCATTAATAAGAGAACGATTCGTTGCAATCACAGAATCTGTCATAGGTTCAAAGGACTTATTTTTTGTAATAATAGAATCTCCAGATGTATTTATTGCAAGAGATGTGAGCCTTTGAACAGCCATGAGTGATTGCTGAGTCAGAGTAGCCGGACAAAACGATTTAGTAGGTTCAAGAACAAGGGAAGGAGACCTTTGACGGATAGAAGCAGGAGAAAAATCATCAGTCGCAATAACTTCTGCGACAGTATTTTGTTCTGTTTCCGGCCGGTCAGTTACAACACAGACAGGGGACAATTCACGAACAAGGGAAGGAGACGTTTGACGGAGAGGAGCAGAAGGAGACCCATCAGTTGCCATATCTTCTGCGTCAGTGAGTTGTTCGGTTTCAGGCCGGTCTGTTACATAGGACGATAAGAACTGTAAAAATCTCTGAGTTGAGAGGGTAAATTCCTGTAATTTCAAGACTTTGTAATATTTCTTGGAGTCATTGCCATCGGATAAGCTCTTCCTAATAACTCACTGATTTCATAAATAGTTATTGGTGTTCCTGCATGGGCTGCCATCCAATCATCGCAAGCTGTATCGTAATGAGATTTAAGACTTCCAAAGAGAATACGATCAAGTGGCTGCAGTTTCTGCGATGTGTGTGGGGGTATGGTCAATAAATGAATCCAATTATCTTTAGCAAATTGAACGGAATCTACGCTTATGTGGCTTTCATGATTGTCAAATATGATGAGTGCCGGGTTTTCTTTGGTAGGTCGGACATACTTGTCCGGGAGATGGATTGGCTGATGAATTTGTAATTGCAGCAATCAAACAAAACCTGGACTGGATTTAAATGTGTATTAAAATAAAATTCTTATTCGTGTCGCGCGCCGTGCGTCCGTAATTGTAACTGCCGGTCGGTCGCAGCCGCGGCGCCCGCGCCCCACTCCCGCCGGCGCAGATCATGTGCCGTGCGCGTGAACAGGCTCCCCGCCTTGGGAACCCTGGTTACCAAGAGACTCGTCCTCTGGGTTGATAGCTGGTAGC